TTTGTCTTCATGATTATTGAACTGTTAACATCTCAGATAATGCTTCACTTGGTCTGTTTCATTACATTAGGTTGCTAGTGTTGGTGGAGCTAACGTTAGCTAGCTCAAGCTCAATTAGCCTTAGAAAGGTTAGCTAGCTAACAGCATAGCAAGTTAAGTTAACATAAATAAAGTTAATCACCAATTACAGTGTTAAGATGTAACGTTAGTAACCTAACTTGTGTTTACTTGTGCTCTTATTGACCTGTAGGGCCGCAAACAGGACGATTATCAAAAGGGAGAGGAGAACAGAGATCACCGACGTGTTCAAGACGATGAACAGTTGAGGTAACGCTAACAGTAACGTTACCCGTGTGTGTTATTCCAGGAGCAACATTAACACCAGATCAAACTCACTTTAGTGTTGAACGTTAGTCCATTGTGGTCCATTGTCTTAGCTTTATTACTTCACCTAACGTAATCAGCTCATCACATCGTCTGTTCATTTAAACTGTATGGTATTCTTGTAGGCCTATTAGCTTTTTACAAAGACTTACATTGATATGTTAACATGTGTGAGGCACAGGCAAACCCACAGCTGCACACCCAAAGCTGCTTTTGTTTATCCTGGATGTCATAGAACTTTCCAGAAGTTCAGAACATTGTGTTTCTAAAGTTTTTATTTTGTTTGTTTACAGTCACTCGTCATCAGAGATTGAGGAAACCAGCCAGACGCTGCAGTCAAGTCCTCTTTAAGGTGTTCTCTCTCCTTATTGTTTCATTCATGTGAGTTCATGCTGTTCAAATGAACTATAAATGTGTATAAGACTTGTTATCAAGCTAGACTGTGAAGCAGTTCTATTACACTGTTCTTGATAGTATTTTAATTCAATGTTATACTGTTGATGCTAATGAGTTCAGTTAAGCTGGTCATTAACGATTTTATTGGTTTATTAGTTTTTGTCACGGCTCCGCTGTGACCTCAGCTTGTCTCCCCTCTGTTGTCTGTGTGTGTGTGTGTGTGTGTGTGTGTGTGGCTTGAGTGCGGCTGCAATCATCCGGCACCTGGGCTCATCTCCTCACCTGACAACAATTACACCATCATCACCTTCAGCTTAAATACCCCGGCTTCCTGCAGTCTCATCGTCAGATTGTTCCTTCAACTCAGTGGTAGCTACACCTCGGCCCCTTTGAGTTTAAGTCTTCTCTTAGCGAAAGTTAGCCTTTTTGACGTTTTTAACTGACTTGTGTTTTCCCTCTGCCTCAGCGAGTCCCGTGCCACGTCGCCACCCAGACGCCGCCGCACACACCGGCTCACTGCTCCACCTGCATGTTCCGCCGGCTCCACAGACAAGCAAAATAAAACTCTTTTTTCACCTACTCTGCTGTCCCGGTGTCTGCGTTTGGGTCCAGGATAAACCGACCATAACAGTTTTCTTCTAAACATGCAGTACATTGTGAGTTTTGTGATGTAATACAAATGTCCCTTTATTATTTCAGAACATGTAATAAACTGCAACTATTATGTATTGAATGTCTATTGTTGTTCTTTCAATTTTTGGGAATTAAATGCTAAAGTAGCGGGTTGTATTACCCTTTGTAAATAAACGGTAACATTCTGGCATATACCGTAAAATCATGGTAAAACCCAATTATCCTACTATCACGTACCGTAATCCAGTATACGGTATGATACAGTAAAAGTAAATTACGGTAGTGTACGGTAAAAAAACTAATTTACTGGCGTCCCTGCTGCCAGTAAGTTACTGTTAATTTACGGTGAAATAATTTAGAGTGTGGCTGAAGATTAGCAGAAACTGAGCCTGTTTCTCGCTAAACTCGCTGTGGCGCTCTGTTAAGGAGAGGCGTTATTAACACCACAGTCATTTTTCGTATACAAATAGGAAGGCATTGTGCCTGTTACGAGGAAGTAATGTTTGCAAGTCCTCACAATCGCAGCTGTAATCTGGGGAAACCATCAGTTCACAGGTCATGCAGGCATTCAGACGAGTGAAGCTACGAACTCACAGGTGCTTGCAGTGATCTGAGGAAGTTTCTTAAAAATGACGAGGCTGTGGTGGATAGGCTTATTCTCTCATTGCCCCCATTCACCTCAAATAAATATATACACACACACACACACACACACACACACACAGGGCAATAGAGCTGGCACACTCATTGAGATGGAACAAAACCGTCCCTTCAGCAGAGAACAGAGCCACAGAGGGGAAGAAGCCGGCAGTGCTTATTGGTATTCCCTCCAGCTGATCCTCATGGATACAGACACTCTCCCACTCAGAGCTCACACAGGGAAACGGGAAGAAAACCAGAGAGGGAGAGCGACAGGGAGCACATCTTTGATTGTAGAGTCCGAAAGCTGACCCAACTTCTCCTCCTCCTCCTCCTCCTCCTCTCATCTGCATCCCACAGCTGCCTTTGCGGCAAAACTTTGATTGCAAAACCAATCTTTTGAGGCCAAACAGTATGCCTCCTCAAAATAACCGACAAAATAAAACTAGTAGAGTTCGAAGTCTTGAGTTTCCTGAATGACTAATCCATGTGAATTCAGTGGAGGGAATTGCTTAAGACGTAATTCGCTATTATCTCATAGACAAGCTGGTCCAGGACTAAATCAATAGCCCATTAACACTCCCCGTAGACTGAGAAAGTATTGAATGGGATTCAATTAAGACAAATATGCAGCTGTATTCAATGCACTCAATGGACCTTAAGAAATGAGATAACAAAAAAAGAGACAATATTTGCCAGTAAATCGTTTACAACAAACAGAACAGAGCATATTAAAAGGTTAGTATTTATACTGATGTGTTGTCTGGTGACATTAATCTTGAACCACTACAGGTAGAGCATACGGTTGAGGAAAGACTGATAAATCCCTACAGAGCTGCCATCCAGTGAGGGTTAAAGACTCAAACTGAGGTGTTGCATCATCTTTGGCCTCTAACCCACGATATCTGCTGCACAATGGCTTTTTGAGGAACAAAACTGGAATGTCATTCACAGCCAACAAAAGGAGGAAAAGCATAATCACACAGCAGTGGTAATAAACGAGCCAAATCGTCCATTATGTTGTTCCATTATGTTGTGTTGGTGGTTTAAGTAATTGTTTACTTGAATTATCTACGTGTGTAAATCTTTCAAGCTCTACTCCCGATTATTGATTTCATTCAAGAGTTAGTGTTTTTTTGTCAAATATATCTGCAATTGCTCACATCGCAGCATGAGGAGTTTTATGAAGAAGCTAAACAGGATGAGGAAAAAGATGGCTGAGCTCCCTTTCCCTCTGAAGACCGGTGACGGGAGTGGCAGCCCTGGAGGCTCATGAATATACTAGGAAGATAAACAACCTGCTGCACGATACCTGACTGACTTTCTGGTTGCACAAGACTCACGCCTGACGGAGCATTCCTCTCCTCGGTGTCACCGTTCCTGAAAGCACCTGGCTTTAAATGCACATGAGGGTATTTTGACAATGTCAAAAGGTTCGATGGTTTCCCCCAAAACCTTGTCATGTAGTGTTGAAGGTTGTTTTCTAAGTCAGTGGTTGTATGTTGCACATATTTTAAAGCACCTTCCGGCAACTTCGTGATTAAATCAAATTGACTGACCTGACTACATTTCTGTGTAAATGCATAAAATAAGGCCACGACGTGTCTCTGTGGGATTTCAATCCCCTCTTTGCAGCAGGCTTTGAATTAATGTTGTACAAGACATTAGCACTATTCATATCCTTCACTCATTACAGACTTCGTATATACAAGTATCACAGTGTGTTAAGTGTAGTAAGGCTTATGTGATCACTGTAATACAACTGTTGTATTTTCAGTAAAAGATTAAATTGTGTTGTATTTCAGAGAAAATCCTTCTACATCTGCTAAGTTACCGTATATCCTAAACGTCAAGTTGTACAACATGAGCCACCACTATAAAGGTGGGGTCAGGTTCGATTTCTAGTCTTGAAAAACAAGGTCAGGCATTGAGTCATCGAGTAGCCACAAAAACAGAAACAACACAAAACAACTGCAATAAGTACCTTGGTTTCTGTTGTAATAGATTTGATCGTACTGGAAGTGAAACGCTTTGTCCATCATATTTGGTTGGAAGATAAATTCTTATTGAGAGCAATACAACACCACCATGAAGGAATTAGGATGAATTAACATCCATCAAAACCAACAGTTTCAGTTTAAAACACAAGTACTCATTACAGGTGGTACTTCAACAGTCCAATAGCGCCTGCAAATTTCAAATAGAGCTGAAACAGAACCGGGCTTGTTTGCACTGGTCAGTCTTTGTACTTTTTGCGGTTGGGCTACTTGGTATGCTGAAGAACTGAACTGTTCATATCATATAGTTGTACTTTGCACTGGATCTGAACTACCATGTTGTTACATAACAATTACCACTAACACTGTTCTGTGTAACTTGTAAACATTAAGCTGATAATGATATAATAGTAATTCACTTATTTGAGTATTTCTTTAAGGGCAAATTGCATGCTTCTTGAACTGAACATCGTTTGTTGGTTGACCAAAACAAGCCATTCGAAGACTTGGGCTTTGCCACTTGTGGTAAGCTTATGAGATTTCATAGAACAATAAATCCAACAATCAATAGAATTAGATTCATCGATACGGGAAATAATCGTTAGTTTCGATTCCAATTCCGTTGTAGGCTGCACAGAACGACCATTGTCCCGTTTGGATACCGTCAAATATGTGGACAATCACATTATGTACCGACCAGGGTTTAGTACTCCAGCACCACCCTTGTCACTTCCCACTAAAACATCTCCATAAATAAAGGTTTTTCGACGTTGTGTACCTGAATGTACCACAGGCTCACGGGCTCTTTGTTAGGGGCAGATGTGCGGTTTATAAACCGCGCAGGCGTTGGTTTCACAAGCATGACGTGTGGATCAACAGACAACAATGCACCGCTGGTACAGTACGGGACCCCGGCGTCCGTGACACACCGATGCTGTAAAATACACTCACATGACACTCACCATCCGGCCGCTGAGGTATTTCTCCACTTCGGATAAACTTCGCACGGACACGTTGGCGCTGGGCATAATAATCCCGTGTTAGTGGTCAGTTAGGAGCTGGTGGTTCTTCAATTAAACATCGGGACTAGTTCCTAGAATCTGGTTTCCATGTTGAGCCCCCTTCTGTCTCTCTCCCTCACACACACACACACACACACACATACACACTGTGACTGCCCTCTTCTTCAACATACAAGAACTATGCGTGAACCCAAACTCCGCCCATTTCTCTCTGCAGGGTGGCTGCGCGAGGAGGGGTTAACTCTTTCAACGCATGTGCCTCTCGCTGTTAGACAAAGGGGGGGGGGAAACAGCATCATACCTAGTATTTGGGTGTGTTTGCGATCAAGAGGAGTTTAAAGGGTATTCCCACAATGTCCTCAATGCTTTAAAGTGAAACATTACTGATGTGTTAAAGGCGGCATTTTGATGTAGCTGATCATACACTTTTTTATACTGCTAGGTAGTTTAACATGGAATAATGCACAATATGTTCATTGTTGATTACATGTTCTGCACGTGAACTCTAGCAATTAGTTCCGCTGTCAAACAAAAGTGCAATATTTCCCTCTGAAATGTGGTAAATAATTAAGTTTATAAGTGGCATTAAAAGGAAATGCCCACGTAAAGCGCATTTTCTATGTGGGCTTATCACCTACACCTTTTCACTATGTTGAAAATCCTCTATTTTGTGTTATTGCGTGGTATATTCTACAGTGCTATTTTGCTGGAAATAGTGGTCTGTTTTTTAGTTTTTTGGGTAATTACTCACAATGTCTTTACTTTATTTTGTTCATGATAATCTCCTATAACATTGGACACAGCTGAGATGTTGTTTGCTGGCTTTAGAATTATTAATATATATATATGAAAGATTGAATTCAGCATAAGAGACACAATATTTTGCAGCACTCTCCCCAAAGCCCCGAGAGCAAGAGGCCATGGGAACAGTCCAACTGGCCCCCTCACTCACATTCATTCAGCTTGGAATGAGCTAATCCACCTAGCTTCCAGCACAAAAGCCCATGTTGCATCACAAATCGCTTAACCCTTACAGTTACACACAACAAGTGCTTGTTTGTGCCGTTGCAAATTGTCCAGCCATTGTATGTACAGAACATAGAGTGAGTGCTCCGTATACGCTGACATGCACTAACGTCTGTGGTTCAAAGACGGTGAGTCAAGTGATGAAGTGATGTGATAGGGCTGTGGAGAATCACATTAAATAGCTACAGGATACAATGGACAATGGACTTCTAAGAACAGCAGCAGACAATATCATTCATCAAGCTTTAATGGTTTTATCAGTGCCTTTAATTAGCCAGACACATTCACTGGGTAACTACAGCATACAGGTGCTGTCCTCCGTTCACCCGTATCCGCAGAGCACTAATGAAAAATTGATGCACCAATAACACACAGTGACAGTCTAGGCCTTTGCGCAGTAGACTGCGACACCTTCCACCTTCACGTCACTTGACACACAAAGCCAAACAATAAGTCACTGGAGTAGGATATAGATTTTGCATTATTAATTCAGAAGGAACACGTAAACAGTCTGCTTTGTTTACAGAAACAAGGGCAAGTTCCAAGAAGTGTGGTTACAGAGTTTTCTAAAACATATATTTAAACTCAGAGACTGGTCAAGTCTGGAACAAAGAGCTAGTGCAGGTTTTCTCTACAAAGTTGTCCAGATAACCTCAGTAAATACACTTCTAATGAGCCCCAACTCGGGCTGATAAACACCTGCCAGCCAGTCAAATGGTGGATTAACACATTTGAGACACCATGTTTAAAATACTCCAGTGCTCACCCCAAAATCAATGTTTGTGTCTATGGGGTCTGATTTACTTAAAACCTACTAACACTAGAGATTCCCTACTCTCTCTTTGATTAACAAAGGTTAAAGGTTGGTTAGCTTGGTATAATCTTCAACTAAAGAATGTTTATTGCTTTTAATAGTTTGACTACATTGACGTCTCTGTCTGAGTGCTTAACAAACAGGTTACCTGGCACCGAGGCCCGTTTTTGTATTTGAAGGATTTTTGCAGCAATGACATGCATGACAAAAACATTACTGCGATAAAGCACTTCTCTCTTCATCCACACAGAAAGTCTATTATAACACAGACTGACAACCTGCAAATTGATCCCAACATGACTGAGGATGGCTTCATATTTTTGGGGTTTATTCATCCTCAGTTGCTCTCCAACATACTGACACAAAAACAAAACTGTGTTGAAGAGCAGAGAGCCTGAAATGTTACACTTGCTTTTGCAAATGGCACATCAACAGTGAATACAAGTAAAGAATCTGGCGAGACAATTATCAGGAGTCAGCTCTATCTATCTATTCTTACATCCAATCAACCTGAGAGATCAATTGTGTTAACAATAAAGAAACAAGGTTGAAAGGTGTTTTCTTTTATTTTCAAATGACATTACCATCTTCAATCCACATTACTTTCTCCAAAAGATGAATTCATGAATTACCAAGTGCTGCCCATTTTTGCCTTCTCGGTGCATTCTATATACAAATCTATACACAATGACTTCAAGCTGTCAAAAGTTGACACGTGATGCTGCGTGATCCTTTGGATTAGCAAACAAATAAGAAATAAAGGTTATAACCTTTTTTGCGATAAAGACATCTCACAAATCAATTCACATTATTCTTTTTTTCTTCACAATTAATCGAAAAATAAAAATAAAGCATGACCTTGCAGGAAAGCAGTGAAAAACAAACCACCCTGGTTCCTTCAAAAGGGGAAATAAAATCTGCAGAAAAAGAAAAAGGCCTGGAGGCGATAAAATACTATGTACAATAAAAAGCGCAATCTACTATGCAGGTTTTAAAGGTTCATTCCTGAATGGGAAGGTACCGGCAGGCTCACGTGCCACTGGAGTTGATTGGTGTTTGTCCCCTTTGTGGGCTGTGCTCTACCGACTGGTTACTGAGGAGTCAGAAGGAAGAGCAAAGGTTCGACTGAAAACAGAATTCCCATTGGATGCTGTGTCATAACTACAGTTTGTCGTGACCACTTCGTGATCGCTCTGCAGAGCACTCTTGAGTGGCTGGCTGGCTGGCCAGTCTGAACAGTCCAAAGTTGCAAATACAAATGGCACGGCGGGTCAGACCCCAGAGACGGCCTGGCTGTTATAATCGGTGGACTCCATCTTGAGGATGTACGGGATGATGCTGTCGATCTGCACATTGCCAATGAGCCCAGCGAAAAACAGCTCCTCAGTGACAGCTGCACTTATCAGCCTGAGGGCAGGAAGACGCAGCAACAGCTTGGATAACCTGAAAGCAATGAGGGGGGGGGGGGGATGAGACGTACAATTTAAACATGTGTACTTCAGCAAGTACATCTGTAATACGATCACACATTTGTCCTGCTAAATATAGAGCCGTACTGTATTAGTACACCATCACCTTTCTGTCAATGAGCAGGCATTATGTAGTACAGAGCTAAAGCCTACTGACCGATAGGAGTCTTCTGGGTAGGACGTGGTTACGTAGTCCTGCAGCTCCATGTAGGCCTTCTCCTGAAACCGCTCTATCTGTGGTGTGTTATCGATGCCTGGGTGATCTTGTACCAAAACAACACGTGCACACCGTCAGATAAGAGTCCAAGTATGTTTGGCTCTATTTACAACGTAGCTACGGATTTTCCTGTAAGAAATCAGCCTCAACGGGAGGACAAAAGATATAATTTGTATTTAGCAAACTGGCCAGTTGTCTACGCACCAGGACTGAAGAGAACGATGGCTTTGAGGTATGCATATTCATAAGAGTCGGGGGACAGCTTGATCATGCTGTTACAGAACTCCTGCATTCTCCAGATGTGCTCCATTACTAGTTTTACTCGATCTGGGGACAGCTTATCTGTAGGAGAAAAAGATTAGTCATGGATGCAAGGGGTAGAGCATCAGTTTAGATTTTTACAAAAATAAACATGATAGATCTCAAGGTCTGCATGATTTCCTGCTTCATCACACTGAAAAACATTGTCCAGGCTTCTGTAATTGTATTCAACAGCAGAGAGCTCCTACCTTCCTGTAAGCTGGTCTGCAGATGGTTGATAATAGCACTTAGGATGGTACCAACATTCATGACGTTGGAGCACTGTGCCAGACCCAGGGCGAACAGCTCATTCCAGCAGGCTTTCATTAGGTTAATGTCATTGTCTTGACCACTGTGAAAATAAAAATAATAATTTCATTTTGCTACAGAGAACTGTGTGGCCATTTTAGGGAAAGCTCTCTTAATAGTCATTTTATAAAATGGCATGTTAATGCAAAGTCCAATGCCATTAGTTAAAAAGTTGTTATGAAACAATGAAATATCTTGTGTCAAAGGCTTACCCAAGGGTCTGAAAGGCAGGAATGGAGCGTGCCCAGTGCATAGAGAGAAAAAGTAGCCGGGAAGCTGACTCACAGATGTAGTTGACATTGAGGTACTCTGGCACAGGCAAAGGCATCATAAGCTGTAGGAAACAAATTGTGGAGTAAATGAAGAACACATGACTGCAGGGTTTATATGAAAAATGTGTAACTCATGAAAACACAAGCAGGGGTTTTATCCTGAGCTTAGAAGTCAGTGGCAGTGCTCTTACTTTGAAAGGGAAATGGCTGTCAGAGAGTATAGGTCCCTCCAACTCCACCACAGGACCCGACTGGTCCCCCGACATCAGCTGCATTGTGGCCTCCAAGGAATCTGCCGCTGGGCCATCACCAGGGTGCAGGACTTTAGCCAGGGTGTCAAAAGCTCTAATTGGAGACAAAATAGTAACACAAAAGTTAACATTGAAAGATCCACGTTTTCTGTTAGTCATCTAATATAATGGAGCTTACACAGAAACATGACACGACTCAAAGCAGCACTTAATACACTCTTGACATATGGTTCATTTTTGCTTGAATCTAATCAAGTCCTGAAGAGTGAAGTCAGAAACCACATGGCCCTGTAGGAAATTCTATTAAAAGGTTTGTGACGAACAAATAATAAAAAATAAAAAAACAGCCCCTGGGTTTCTTTCTAGTGCCAATGTCAATCTGTAGTTCATGTATCAACTTATTCAGAAACAACTATTGGTTAGTATCAAAGCCTCTTGATTCTTTATGACATCTCCCTCACCGAGTGATATCGCTTGCACTTTGCTCATCTCCTTGGATGTCCGTCATGGAGCTGTCCCCGTTGCTGAGCGTCTCGTCTCCCATCAGGTCATTGCCGCCGTCACATGCCTCCCTGGCCTTGTTGAGGTGGGCGAGGGACGTCACGACATTCGCCAGCGTGCCGAGGTCCCCTTGAGATAGGTCGACCTGTTGAGTCAGCAGTCATTAAGAAGTCATTGTTTGCACTGCTCTGTCTAGAGTCGACGAAACACTCGTGCTCATCACTGAACTACTTCAAGAAAGAATAACAAAAACAGAAATGAGGGACACATGCACCTTTACTGAGCAAGCAATTATTCCTTTCTTAATTATAAGTTAGAAAGCTGATGTATTTAAAAACCCCAATATGCTCAGAGGCTTGAATATTTAGGAATGGCTAGGAGTGATTTCAGTAGTACATCATTTGGCTGCATCAGTGTTACCTTGTCAGGGGATGCTGGAATCAAGATGGTGTTTTCCATCTTGGAGAAGGGTTGTTGGATGTTGAGCAACATGCTTGACTCAAGCAAACTTGTAGACCTGAGTGTAGATATTTAAAATTCCACATTGCATTATGTAATATAGAACCGTGCAATGTGATCAAGTCATAACTCAAATCAGTTTATTAGTTACACGAGTGCAATCTAATTTAATTCATTCCAATGCAACAGAACCCATCTTTCTTCCATTTTAATCTTATACTGGTGAGAAAAAGACAAGTGTTTCAGAGAGGACGATGTTGTATTGGACTACAGTATGTTAAGAAGTGTTTCTAGTGAGGAAATAAATATAAGAAACAAGTTTTAATATGATGCAGTCCAATAGAACACCACAGATATTATAATCTAACAAAAATATTACACAAAGATATTGTTTACATCAGGGCTATTTATTGTGTTGTATTAGACCGTACAGGTGCATCTAATAAACTGGTAAATTAGAGTAAGTGGCTGTACCTAGCAGTTTCTTTGTCAGACATAAAAGTGGGTGTGGCAGCCAGAGGACTACACAGGTTTTTGCGGATGTAGATTTTCTCAGTGGAGGCTGCACAGTTGACGGATCGCTCCCTTGTGGTCACTTCAACAGGCTTCCTCTCACACTGCACAGCTAGATAAGACAAAACAAAGACATCAGACCTCATGGAAGCACGACATCGATGACATATCTACAGCTGTTTGTAAAGAATATCACACTCTCTTACAATCCTGTTTCATGCCCAGAGATATGCAGCGCTGCAGTCGACAGTACTGGCAGCGGTTTCGGTGGAGCTTGTTGATGGCACACTCTCCGGAGCCCCTGCACGTGTACACTAGGTTCTTTCTAATGCTGCGTTTGAAGAAGCCCTTGCAGCCCTCACAGCTGACAGCTCCGTAATGACGCCCTGAGAGAGAAAAAGAGAAAACAGGATCAGGTCAGCGAATGCTTGCTCATATCTGTTACTTAAAAGGCATAATGTTGAAGCAAATTAAACTTAAGTCATACCTGAGGCCTTGTCCCCACAGACAACGCAGTACTCCACAACCGACTTCACAAGGGACTGGTCTGAACCTTCAGTCACAAACTGACAAACAACCCGAGACAACAGAATCATTGAATACAGCAAACATGGCGATAAGTTAAGACTGACACTAAACATGTTCATGCTTCGGTCATAAGACCTTTCAGTAATTTGTTTATCACAACCGACTAAAGAGAGGCCACTAATATCCTCCGGTAATACCTGAATCTGCTGCCCAGCCAGATCATGGGAGGCAAACAACAGCTGGTTAACCCCAGAGCCGTCCGGAGCGGTGAGGATGACCTTGTTGGGAGAACCTTCCTGCTTGGCGAGGATCACCTTCCCACCAGGGGAATAGTCAGCGTTCGTTAGGATATACTGCTGCTTTCCTGGGGAAGATGGTTCAAGTGCTGTGACGATCTGGATCTTCTGGCCAGTCTGCTGATCAGTTACAATCTAGTAGAAACAAATAAATAGAAACAAAACATGAGTAAGTTTTGACTGTATGCAGAAAGAGTGCGGGAGAAGTTCGGCTAATGATATGATAGAGGAATAAAATTTAAAAAATTTAAAATACAAAAACTAGTGGAGCAGTAGGGATAAATTGTGCTAATACAAGACAGTGCTAGGTTAAACCATCTGCTATACTTTGATCTTGGATCTAATCATGCCAAGATGATGTGCACATTTTGTTTATTTGCACACAAACTAAAAAAGAAGAGCTTGTTCTAGTGCTGGACAGGCTATCACGTCACCTGGATTCTGTGTCCTAATGCCATGTTGCTGTCTGCTGACACAAGTTGAATCCTTTGAGTCTGTCCATCCATTCTGATACCGCACGCACCTTCTTGTAATGGTCTTCACATCAGCGCCCCATGAGGCATGGACACCTGCCGAGAGAGAGGATATATTTTACTTTATGTCGTATTAAAGCAAACTTTGGGGCAGGTAAAGAATACCTACAAGGATAAGGATGACAGTGTTCTTTTATTCTCTTACTGCCATCAAAACTCATGTATACAACTTCTCAAATACTTGTTTTTAACAGGCCATCAATTATATAGACCCATTTTTTAAAGGATAAGCAAAAAAAACAGGGAGGCAATGTAGTTTTTAGCAAATGTTCAACAGGAGTAGAACATTGAGTGCTTTTCTGGTGACGATTGTTAGCAGATTTGTACACATGAAGTGTTCTAGTAAGTATTTACAGAAGCAGGTCAGTGTATGTAGGGTTGGCACAAAATAAACTACAGTGCCCCATGTTCAAGCTAATGAAGAAACAACACACCCAGTGCAACGGTGGGGCTCAATTGTTTTTTTGTAAAGCTTCTGGGCAACAGTGGAGGTCTATGATATGAATGAATAAGGTGTATCACGCTACAATGACAATACTAATTTATCAGATCAATGAAATGTTTGTTTTGGTCTTTAATGATATCTTGTTAACAATAGAATATTATGAGCCTTATCTTTTAATAGACGTTTCAGATCCATGTGTAATTTCGACCGCATAAAACAGTTCATATAACTTTTACCACATGTGTAAATAGCATGTTTTATATGCTGATGTGTGTCGAGCCACCCGGAGGTCGGATTTTAAATATTTTCAATTTGATACACAGTTTCATAGTTCAGAGCTGTTATTAAGGTGACCACTAGGAACGAGTACGTCTTACAAACACCTAATTATCTCACGTACGTTATAACTAATGCTACTCTTATGCATCATGCTTGCTATTAACGTCATCTTTCCCTTTAGCTAGAAGATATTTCTGACCAAGACGTGATTCATATTTCTTAACATTTAAGAGCTAGCGTTAACTAAGTCAAAATTAGCTTGGAATGATGTGTGTTGACAGGTAATGTAGAACATTTTATTTATTATAATGCGTGCCACTAACTTATGTTAGTCTGTGGCCTAACCAATCTAGGAGGCGCTAGCTCGAAACTGTACCGTATAAAATACGGCGTAATATCACGGATGAGTTTCAACGAATGAGTGGTAAAGCTGCAGTAGTAAACACAAACAAGCTCTTGACAGCCCCGCTATTTCAAATCGATACGGAAGATAAAGGTATTTCTTTTCCTGTGGGTGAAAGGTCAACATTGAAGGGTTAAAGCACGCTAGGGTTCAGGGCCCATGATGCCGAAGCGCAGAGTCAAACGGCGGGACTTCGGTTTTCACAACGGGGCGAAATTCGCATTAATTCTGGCACTGGACTTCCATTTAAATCGGGAAATCGACAAGACAAATAATGATGATTAACACTACGACGCGCCGGTCTCACAGTCGGACTTAATTTAATGTTGTGGCTGTTTAGTTTGCGGAGGCTAACTAGCAAAGCTAGCAGTGCAGCTAACATCAGCTAACGGGAACATGGTTAGTTAGCTGACCTGACGAAGCTAGTTGGCTAACTAGCATACCCGTTAACAATATCACTGTTACCGAATAGCTACGCGTTAACATGCAGCGTTAATATTATATACAGTGCCAGATGTGCAGTCGCGTATACATACCAATTGGATTGCATACTTGCCTAATTTGAATTGTAAAAGCGGAGCTCCGCACGACAGCGCTAACGAGCTATGCTAGCTGTTTGCTAACTGGTAGCTAACGGTTGCTTCCCTGCTGTAGACCTACCGTTACTGAACACTCCCTCTCTTCCTGCGTTACTGGCCACTCGTGTCTCGTTCTTGAATCTCTCGTGCGTCCACATTAGTAAATATATCTTACCGGATAAGGATCTGTTCAGTCAGATAATGTATAGTCTTCAATATATTACTATTTTAACTGTTTGTTGCAGTTGGTGGGAGGGTCAGAGTTCGTGACCTTTTTTTCATCAATAAACGATTTACGCACATGCGCAGTTGGTAGCCGTGGCTCATACCCTGTGTGTGAGAGAGACGTCAACCTGTCAGTAATTTTTAATTGGCTTCAGTTTTTTGTCACAGGAGTAATGGCGCATATATATCAGTGTATTAGAGTGATTTTATTAACAATTCTGCATGACGCATTAATCAGAGCAAACACACAAAGTTGTGCTGAACCGAGCTTTAATAGAGGATTGATTTTATCATTGGCTGTAATGCAATGAATTTAGATGTCTGAGAAGTTCAGGCTTCATTGTTTTAAGATCAATAATATAGTAAACAATGCAAATCAACCTACTGCTCTCCATTGACTACTCAAGGATCCACAGTTGTACACTTGCTGGCATTTCTACAATAGAAACCACATTTTTACACGGAAATCAATGATTTTAAAGTCCAGTGAGATATGATCTACGCAAAATGCCATTCAGTTGCAGTACAATGAGTATTTATGTAATTATTTCCCTGTTTGCTTACGATTGCGTTTCCACCATTTGATGTGCAGCCAATTGTTCCCTCCACAGTTGACCATGACAAAAAGAACAGTAAAACAATTTATTACAGTCACAGAATTTCAATAATGAAAGCGAGATTCATGGAAATTTGATTACATTGAATTTACATTTGTCTTTATTTACAGAAGATGTGTGTGTAGGGACATAATATATACAGCCGGTTGAGATACTTAAGTGCATTACCCATTATTGAGTGAAAATCCCCAGATACACCATTAAGACTCTTAAGTTAGACTCAGAGTTACAGAAAACTAATAATGTAAGGTGAAGCTTTCTTACACAAGCATGACGAATGCACATTGTGTGTTCTACAACAAGACACACACTGGTGTGAAATAAAGTAATCATTCTCAGACAACAAGAAACATTCAATATGATTTGTTTTGACCTTTAAAAATGAATTGGTAAATGTTGAGCAAAATGTTATGACATAATTCATTACAAATCTACTGACAATAGTTTTTAATTAACAAATCTGTGCTGCGGAGATGCAAGCTGGTTACTAAAAGAAAATTTAAAAAAAATTAAAATGTAACCAAAAAAGGTCTAAAATAGCTCCAGATAATTTGGGCATATGATTCTTAAATTGCCAAAACTGCATAAATGTAAATTGAATAAATACAAAGCTAACACAGCTAATTCCCACCCTTTCAACTATGTAAAAGGTAACTACACTGATACAAGTAATAAAATACTTTATTTTGATTTGATTTCAGTGCAACTATTATAGTGTCTCCAGATGCTTTTTGCAGAATTCACAGAGCATTGAGGTAAAACAGTATGTTGAGCAGCTACATACACTGTCAACCAATATTAAAGCACCGTGGCGTCTTTGAATGAGTCGATCCATCTGTTAAAAAAATAAAAAATAAGTATTATTTGTATTGTCATTGCTGTCACTATATGCAACAATAAGCAGCACCCTTCTTTGTACCGTACCTCTGTGCCGTTTGGAGGTCGTCAGCTTTAAAAATGTAGTGAAGTGTGTTTTTGTGGTAAAGCTTAAACTCCAACTTCTGTGATGAATCATCTTTCAACATAAACCCTAACAGGGGCTGACTCTCTAAGGCTGCAACATCCTGCAGAAAGACACAAGGCTAATGTTAGATGGACATGAAATCAATCCCGGTTGGTTAAATTACAACATGACACTGGGCTTTCACTGATACAAGTAGGAGATCTTACCTCACTTGCAGCGTATGTATACAGGACCTTGTCTTTGATAACGAACCACAGCCTCTTCCCCTGCTTCTTATTGCTCTTTGACCTCTGCAGGTACCCACTCATTGAGGAGTTGTCTGTGCTTGCTGTCACCTGAAAAAAAAAGAAAATAACCATCTGATGAGATATCAGATCATTATCGCCAACACTGCGTCTTGATCACAGCAAAACAATCATCACCTCTTTGAGTGCTGCGGGTATCTTCTTCTGCTTCCTGGGGAACGCAAAGGTAGCTCTGTTTCCGGGGGATAGAGCTGCTGATTGGGCTCGTTCACCTGATGCACACAAATGTGGAACATGTAGTTGTTTAATACAGTGTCTCTCAAATGGGGTTCTAGTACCCCTAGGGGTTCTTTGGAGTACTGCGGGGGGTTTGAGAGTTTTTTTTATTTAACATGCATAATTCCTAAAACAAATATAATAATAATAATAATAATCTCAATTAAACTGTAAATATAAATTAAATAAACCACATTTAATATTCATTATTTCTATTTCCAATGCAATCGCTAACTGCCGTAAACTGTCAGCTGCCACAAGAAACTCAATGACCTTGACAATTATGTTTGTACAGTCATGTTTTGCACAAATTAAAAAATATCTCTAAGGGGGTAGGTTATAGAAAAGGGTTTGCGAACCACTCGTTGAATACATAGAAAATACATACAACAAGTGGATTACACGAGTCAAATCTACACTGATGTTTACGTCCAGGACACCATAAAATTAGGATGACAGAGTGTTTGGATTATATCGCAAACAATGTTAGAAAGAAGCACGACTTACTTTTCTGCAGCTGAAGAACAGGGAAGCACTGGTTACACACTCGGGCCAAGTGGTTCTTTAGGTATTCAAGAGCGCATTTGTTGGAGGAACATGACTGGCACACCACCTGATGGGATGATAAAGCATAAAATAAGTTATTTTACTACATGTGCAGTTGTATAAGCCATTTTATTTTGCATCTCTCATTTTTTGATTCAAGATATATTTCAGAAACTACATCTGTTTTTGATGGGAGAGACTTTTTCTTTCTTACCTTTCCACATGCACGGCAGTGATGTCGCCTCCATGTTAGGGTGAACTCACAGGTGCAGATCATACACATGGTGGTCCGTGGGTCAGGGATCCATATAGGGGCTTTGGATCCCAAAGGAGCACCATCACCACAATCTCTTAGCTCTACCTGAATATTAAAATATGAAGGAGTTAACTCTCTTCGCTCATATTTACACTATAAAATAGACTTTGTGTTCATTACTATAACAAAGTACACACTGCAAACAGAAGATGTATGTGTTTCACTTGAAATAGTTTTCTTTTACCTCTTCTGGAGGTTTGCCAGATATAAAACTGATCTTCTTCTTGGTGTAGTCACTGATTGCCGTGGAGATGGCCTCAAGCCATTCATCTCGCTCTGAGGCCGAACTGCAGAGAGAAAACACAGTGTGACTACACACCTACACAGTATCTAACAAAACAACACACGTTCTTAAATTACCAAGAGAATATCTTTTGTTCCTGATCGTTACCTCGCTGAGAGAATGAAGGAGCGCTCCACGCTCTCAATGTTCAGCTCATTCTGATAGGCCTCTTGGCTTGGTTTGCTAACCTGCAATTATTTCATTGTGAGCAATGAAGGCAGCGAAGAAAATATCCTGAGATAATATACAGTGTATACACACACTAATATATATATATATATATATATATATATATATAAAAATAAAAAAAAGAGGAAGAGTGTATACGTAGGTATAAAGAGTGAAGTTCTCACCTTCATCCCAGCCAGAGAGAACATGTTGTTGAACTTGTACTGGCCTGACTGGACAGGAGTGGTGTACAGCAATGTGTCGTTAAACTAAAGGAGACATGACAAAGAAACATAATTTACCTATTGCCATTTCTGTATTTTTGTAATACACTACAGAGCAGCTCAAACTAAGATTAAGAAAATACTGGTAAACAAGTTGATTTCAATACAAATCAATTATATGAACATATAACGTCTTACTTAGAAAAGAAAGCCTTCACTGAAAAACAAAACCAGCTTCACAGAACACACTTTTTAACTGAAGGTAGGAGCGCGTGCAGTAGATTGTCTCATTGCAGTATTACCATGATAATGTATACAAATTAAATTAGAGGAAGAAGAGATGGGTGTTTTACTGTACCAGGAAGAACATTCTGGGCTGCATGCCCTTCCTTGACAGCTTCTTCAGGGTGCCCTCTTTCAAGAAGATCTGGAGCATAACAATGTCACAAGATCACATTAAGTCATGTTTGTTGATTCATGATTCATTCAATGAGCATGCAAATATTTTCGAACTCTTGAGGTTAAAACTGTCAGTGTTACAATGAATCACTATATCACCATAAAAAAAAGCATGATAAAAATAGTGTAGTCATTTTTCTAATGTTATTTTCAGGAAATTATAGTAATTAGTACAATATTGTACTCTCAATGACAAGAAGCCCTATATTGTATGGCTTAAAAATGTAATAACTGATAATATAGTATCAGTGAACATTCAATACACAACTGTCATTCATTCATACATACATTTTACATTTATGGATTAGGGCTTTGGGGATCCATGTAAATGAGGTGAGGTTCAAAAATCGTCACCATCTTATTAATATAACAAAATAATGTAAGTTCATTTACAAATGGTTTATATATAAAAGAGCAACACACAAAACAACTCCAAGAAAATTCTTCATGGCCTTACCCGTCCAGGTTGGACGATCTCATGGTGGCCGTTCAGACTGCACTGCACCTGGATCAGCTTCTGGAAGTTATCCTGAGAGAAACAAAGGACATCAGCAACCCGTATGGAGCATTTTATCAACACGCTAATCAATATGGCTGATTTCTTGTTGGTTCTCACCCCTTGTTTCATGAAGTCGTTGGCGTGATTGGCCACCTCTTTCACTATTTCAAGAGCAGCTGAGTGGATAGAAATTTGAAAAAGTGTACATCACATACATGACAGACAATGTTTACGTTCCACTGACACCATGAGGTTTAGTTAACAGTATACAGATGTTAAAAGACCGTTGGTTTACCTTGTGTGTCCTTGTAATCAAGTGAGTCTTCAGACAGGTTTTTTAGATAGTCTGAAACACAATAAGAAACATTTTAGAGTCACGGTCAACAGTAGAAACTACTTTTGTACACTGGTTTACAAGTGCTCAGTGTTGTACAGGAAATTCCTGAAATGTAATCTGAAATTAAAATCCTGGATGAAAAGGTCTGCAGGTGCTTAAATAATAAAATTATACAACAGCGACGTGAGGAACATTCTTCACATTTTGCTCCCGAGAGAGCGATCCTGATCCATTAGACTCCTGCAACACTAAGCTCACTCATGTTAAAGCTCGTGTTATGTCACCAAATCTGATTTGCACTGCACTTCAAAAATCTTATTATACGGGGATTGAAGGAGCAAATTCCAAAGTATTTTTGTTTATCTGGACACCAGAGGGCAGCAGGATGCCAATAATGACACATTACAGGTTGGTCTAACATGCAACGTTGAGGAGTCAGTAACTACAATGAAGTGTAATTGGAATGAAATAAAGCTAATCTATTTATATTGTGAATGAATGATTAATGTTGTGAAAATGCAGATGTACCTGTGAGCAACAGCCGATACTGAGGAATCCTCTGAACAGGCTTCAGAAGGTAATGCTTCAGAGCCAAGTTGGCACAGCGGGGACTGGCCTTAAACAAAAAAAAAAAAAAAAAAAGGCACATGTTACAGATGACACAACTTTCACATACACATGCATAAACAATGGAACCTCAGTAAGCCAAAAGACACACGCCCCCTCAGACGGAGAAAACAGGTCAGGCAAGCCTTGTTACCTCGAATTCCCGAACCACTGCGCCGAATGCCGGGTTCTTCTTACTCTGCTCTTCCAGTAGAGCCACATTCTTGTCAAACTCGCGGATGTATGTGGAGTACATCTTCAGATAGGGCCCTTTCTTCAGGAAAATGTCTGCTAGCTGTGCATGCTCATCCCTTTACATAGAATAAAGTAGAATGAGATCAAACTGGATGCTGTGACACCTCGTGAATGTATCTGTAACTAAGCTGTATTCCTGTAATACTAATAATATATGTACACATATACAGTATACACACTAGGGCTGGGCGATATGCAGCAAATCTTTTTGACCAGTAACTGTGATCAATACATACACACGTAAAAACACTTTTTCGGGATTCTGTTGTACCATTTGGCTACTCTCTGCTTCAGCTCTCTGAGCAGGTCTTGGTTGAGTTCGTAGAGCTGCGGGAGGTAGTACAGAATCTGGTTGAGAAGACGCTCCTCGATCACAGCCTTCCCGCTCTGACGAGACGCTGTGGACGCTGCGTCACGGAAGTCCTGTGGATCAGATGGAGTCAGACAGATAAAGAGTCAGATGGTCAAATATAAGGAACTCATGCACACAGGGGAAAACCCAAGAGGTGGATCTCAATGAAGTACTATAGAAACAAACTGTCTGCTCTACAAAGCATGTAACATGCTCCCTAAAACAACACTACACACCAGATAAGCTCCAGAAACCTTCAGTGTAATAGATAAAGAGTGCTATCAAACCAAATATTAAACTCCATCACGGGTAGTATGTTATGTATTTCAACTGTTAAGAGTGCTGACCTACTCGCATTAAGCATTTTTAAATTTCCACCATATCATGAATCAGAACTAAAAAAAAAGGAGAACAAGAGAGCCTGAGGTTGCGGTCTCTGCTTCCTTTTCTGATGATGCAGAGTTTTTTGGTGGTTTATGAGGACACGTGGCAAATAAAACTTGCAGACTGAGCACCCAGTAGAGAGCTCCTGTGGTTAACATGTGTGATCTGACAGCAAAGGAGGTGCGTTATGTGGAAAAGGATTTGGTAAGAAATTAGAAAAAAATCTGGATGATTCACAAGACAAGAAAAGATTACAATGCAGACGTGACTGAATCAGCAGTAAGTGAATATTTTCTTTTTATAAGTGTTAAGTAGAGAACAACAAGGAGGACAAGAAGCTGTGGTTCTTCAGTTTGGTTAATTTGTATGTTTTCACCTCAAAAAGTTTCACATTTTTCTTATCTTTCTGTTCCCAGAGATATGACATTTTGGAGACAGCGACAGCACACAGTGCATAGCAGTAGCATTGCTGAAAATACCGCTGAGCTTGTAACTCCGATAAAAACAAATAAACAAATGGCATGTGGCGTTATCGATCAGTTTGTGAAAAGCTGGCTGAGTGCCTGATACTGATGGAGAATGAACTAAGTCACCTCTACATTCTTTTGAACTTGGTATGACTGATCCTCATTACTGGACTCCATTCCTCCACAGTCAGCAGAGACCAAAGCACTTCCTCTCTGTGCTCTGCTGTGAGGAGTCATTGTGAGTCAGTCTCACTACAATCTTGTTTTGAGACCTTTGTCTCTCCAAACATCTGCTCACCCTTGTGTCCTTTTTTTGTGAAAATAAAGAGGCTGAAAAATACTAAAAAGGACTTTGAGGTAAACAAACACTGTGAACACAGGCACAAAGGTGGGTCATATTAGAGTAAGGTGAAATACAATGAAGATGACCTCCTTAGATTTATTGAAATCATTTACATTATTGAATTAATGGTGACTACATTTGTATATTCTATTCTGTTCCTTAAGTTAAGACAAGGCACTGCATAACATGCCTCACCTTGCCTGTAGTTTTAGTAATGCTTAATGCTCCTCATCGGAGTGATACGATGAGGAAGACGCTATCCCCGCGTTCTTGCTTTACCCGCGTCCCGAAAGCAGTTTTAATTCAATAAATATGATTGTATTGTTAATGCTGAGAGTAACCAGCGTTACATTTGGTTGCATGACAGTTAGCAGTAGGTCGGCCCTCTATGCATTAGATATGTCTAATCCCCGTCATAATACAACTTGTGCTGGTTCCTCTTTAGGCTTGTCTGCTTTTGATATACAGTTATAAATTGCATTTTTAAAGGCTTAATTGTCCTTTATTCATGGCTAACACGACCCACTATTGTGGTTGTGTTTGTAGCTGTGATTAAATTGTGTAAAAGATCAAACATTAAAATAAACTGCCTCTGTTTTTTTTGTCTGAGAGAGTGAACCAGTTTATAACTTACATGTGGGATTGTGCTCCTTCATTCCTTTATTTACTGTACATTTTCTAACATATGCAAAGCAACTTAGTGGCTGCAACAGTAGAGGATTGCTGTTGTTACATTACAAGATTACAAGTTGGTTAGAGTTACGCTGATCAGACAATCACTCATATTTCTCAAACATATCTTTGAGGGAAGTACGGCACAGAAACCAGATCATATTATTTCGTTGGCTTGGATCGGTTACAGATTAAATATCTCAAAACATCACAAGGAGGCAACATGAATCCATTGAGGTCCAGTGTTACCGTCAGATCACACTATTATCGTAAAAGCCGGGAAAACCACGAGGAATGTGAGCTGTGTGGTTCGAGACTGAAGGGAGTTAGATCTCATCCTGCATGGGGTGTGCCCCTGTGGCTCGCATAATCAAACACATATGGAGAATGTGGGCTCACACAATACTAGCACCAGATAAAACAGAGAGTACAACTTTCTCAACACTATGCCGTGCGGCTCGCTTCATATGTTTAGATAAATATGGTGAATTCATTTTAAAACCATCGAATATCAGTTTGTTCAATATTTATGTTTTTGAGAAGCCTTTAATGAACATTATTTCACATGTGGTCAATTTGTGTACTCTTATTAACAATTTCAAATTTAGTTGGCTTTGAAAATATGTTTAAACAATTTTTGTTTTAAACTTCAATGTGGAAGTTTATCTCACTATATTTTCTTCCCCACTTGTGAAGTTTAAAATGTCTTTTGATGTATAATTTTAGTAAAGACAGAGTTCTCCTCCCACTTCACAACTCTAAAACACTCAGACTCCTTTTATCACCGAAAACACAAGTCTTGTTTAAGTGTGAAGCAAATAACTCAAAAGGGTGACGTGTGGGGGTACTTACGACATGAAGCAGCTTCAGGACATCAACAAACCTAGAAAAACACAGAACGTGAAAGTTAAAGAAGTTTATATTGTTATGATTGATTAAATAGTTATAGAGGAAGAAAAGAGCCTCTTCCACAAAAGACAACAAACAAAACAAAAACCCTCACTTATCTAGTGGTGGCTGATCATTTTTGATTATCTGCCAAGATTTTGAGCTGTACGTCTCTCCATAATACAGTGGGGGTGAATGGATTTAATCTGTGGCGCTCGTAGCATTAATACAACTATACCTGTTGATTGTACTGGGGTGGAGGCAGAAACCTCAAAACCTGGGCAAGTAAAAAACAAACCATCCCCATGGCTTAACACCTCTCGATGTTAGTGATAAAAACTTTTTTTAGTTCATAATTTAAGTGAACCTGCACTGCAAGAAAAACAAATTAAGACTCTTACACACTCTCAGAGCTCATAATTTCTGTGGCGATGTGGTGAATCTTGCTGCTCTTCTGTGCACTCTGCGTCTAAGAAAAGGTGCAAAAACACAGACTTAGAATTACAATGCACCACAATAGATCCCTGTGTTGTTCACCGCAAAATTACTCACAGCAGATACACGCTGTGAATCATAATATTGCGTATAATATTCCAGGAAGTATTTCTGAGAACCTCTAGGAACTGAATTCATAAATCTGTCTGCTTCTCACCGGACTCTCCTCTGGCTGTTCAGGGTCTCCTTTACTCGAGATGGAGCTGCTATCGTCCTCTGAGGTGTTGATCAAGATGTCCTCATCCGAGGGGCCATCATCCAGGGGTGTCACCTCTTCATCGACAGAGCTTCTGTCAACATGGGCGGGATATTAGGGTTAGAGGGCAATAGAAGCAGACGCCAGAGCATGAACGAACCACACTACAGGTGTTTTGGACAGACAGAAGAAGCTGCAGGCATTTATTTAAAAACATTGAATGCAGCACATGATGACCACATCATCCACATGCCGCATGATTAGTATAAAAAAAAAGTACAATGTACAAAAAGTACAACTCGCATACTTTTCGCAAAAAAGTATGCGAGTCATAAAACAAAAGCACCCAGGAAATAGTACCACTTGACGCAACCGGAAAAAAAACATTTAATGACAACCATTAACACGCTCACATGATGCCAGACTTGTCCAACAGAAACAGAAGAACTGCAAAACACAGCTTTAAAATGACAGCATTTGAACAGCTAACAGGGAGCTGCAGCAAAAAGGAACTACGTATCTAAAATGCCACAATTCCCTGAGGGAGCACTACATGTGAGACAACGGCCCCTCCCTGAACAAAACTGCAGAGAAAGAAATAGGCCGAGGCTGAGCAGCAAACCCAATAAGCCGGAGTCTGTGGGTCCTTCACACTGCGGTACGTTTACAATGGCTCATGCATTTAGCTGGTCTCTGTTTGTGAGCTGGTCTGTTTGTGAGCTGCTCAACGTCATTTTGACATGTGATTGTTGCACAGTTTGAGCTCAAGAGGGGCGAAACACTAAACTGTGCAATGCAGAGTGCACAGTTACACAAACGGTAATCCGATTTTTTTTTCCAACTGACTTCTGCTCACTCGTCATTCATGACGCAGAATATGAGTTCTCTGCATAGAGGGATAATTAGGAACACTAATACCAAGAATGTAAACATGCTAAGTTTAGCTGAGCTAATTGAGCATCAAGCTCAGAATTGTGCATGGGGTGTGAGAATTGGTTCACTCAAAAATATGTTTTCTCACCTTCCAGAGAGCTCCTGTATATCTGTATATCAAATAGAATTCAATCACCTCCATTGTAATTGAGTATTGGCAAAATCCCAGCAACAGATCTCTCAAAACCTGAGCAAAGTAGAGTCCCTGGCTATGGTCCATTCACCGCTTCCGACACCCTTGCTCAGACCACACCCATCTTCATACTCGGTCTTCATGTTGATATAAACTTCACACCTCTAAAGCTTCGTTGACAGACATATAAACACATTGCAAAGTGCTCAAAACCACTTCTGCGATAGTTTACATTAAAGTGACTCCCACATCACTTTTTGTCATGATGACACACTGAATCACAAGGTGAAAACAATACCAGCCACACGCTGTCGCGCCTGATAACAAAAAATGTCTGCGTGGCTAGAAAACACTGAATACGTGCCCTAAGTGTCCTCTTAGCCTTAAATAAAAAAAAATCATCAAAACTGCTTTTGAACTAAATACACACACTCTTGCCCTCTAGGTCAAAAGTTGTGTTGTGTTCGAGTTACCTCTGATAATAATTGATGGCATAAAGTGTATAGTTAAAAGTAGGTATGTGCAATCATCAGTCAACGCACAATTCGTCAACCCCTGACGACGCCGAGCACGCGTCCCAGTATACTTGTCTAACTCCCCTAACAGGAATCTGCAACAAAGGACACAATGTGTCGTGCTTCTCTGCGTCCTTCCTTTTTTACAAATGACACACAAACACTTGCCGTAGTTCACTAAATATTTTACAGATGAATGTTTTTGTGAAGCCTGCAGGGTTTACCTGCACTCCTTTCAGAAGACGAGGGAAATCACAGCTGTGAGGACAAAGACACATGTAACGAAAGCCATCACAATCTACCTGTCATAGTCTGTTGGCGTCTGACACTGTTGGTGTCCAGAGTTTTTCTCAAAGGACATGTATGGCTCCTGCTCCTCATAAATGCCCTCGTCATTATACTGCGAGACGGAGGTCCGAGGAGATGCAACTGCCCCTCCTACATTCACATTCATGTAGTCTGGTATCTCTTCATAGTGAGGCACGTTCTCATAGTAAACATCTTGTTCCGTTCCAGGAGAAAACTTATCTCCGTCCACGCTTTGCTCTACTCCAGTCAGCGGGCAGGATAATTTACGTTGAGCCCCGGGACCCTGGTGGAGGTTTTGACATCTGCCTTGGTCCCTGTCCACATTTTGTTCATTACAGTCTGAGCTCTGGCCTCCTTTCACGATCAGCTTGGGAAGCATCTTCACAGAGAGCTTCAAGTCCAGCAGTTTCCGGAAAGAGTTCCTCTTCTGTCCGTCGGAGCGAAGGACGTCGGCACCGGAGAACGACTTGGCTCTCTGTTTGCCCAGGCTGGACCTGCTAGGCTTGATGATTCCTGGTGTTAAGATTGTTCTGCTTGTTTTTCCGACCGGAGGCGAAGGCAGCTCCCTCATCACTCTGTCCTTCAAAGCGTGAGCCTGTATAGAAAGGCTCTGACTTTTCTCATCATCTCCAAGTTTACACTCTTCTTCCTCCTCAGAGGACTCCTTCCTCTGCATCCGTGCCATCATGCTGCTGTTTCTCTGGGGCTTCTTGGGAGCCACCTTGACCACCGCGTCCTCCGCTGCCACAGTGACTGAAGGAGGCTGGCTCAGCTCCGGTTGATTGAGTGGACTGCTGGACGGAGGACTTTGTGTGACGTCACTGTAGACTGCCTCCTCATCATACGTTCCTTCCTTCTCCACCTCTATATCCTCCTTGTCAACCGATACCTCCATCTCCTGGATGCTGCTGTCCCAACCCAGGTCTTCCTCCTCCACATCCTTCGGGAGAGTGCGTGGAGCAGAGGTTGCTGCTTTCTCAGGTGCGGACAGTAAAGGCTTTTTCCTGGGCGGAGGGGCTGGCTGAGCGCAGGCTTTTCCCGCAGACAGAAACATAGGCACCGTTTGTCCAACAAGTCCACTGACAGACGGTGATGAGCTGCCTTTCCCCTCCGGTGACACCTTCACCTCTTTGACGTTCATTTCCCTCCCTTCCTGGCCTACAATCTCTCCACAATCCTTCTCCACCTTTTCCTGACGGGCCAGGACAGCCATCCTGGGTTTCCTTGGTACAGGGACAGGGATGGGCTTCCTAGAGGCTGCTGGGACTGGTTTGGGCTGGGGGATGCAAGATATCTGCTCCGAGCCAAGAGCATCTTCCTCTGGTCCACGCCCAGGTGCACTCTGAGGAATTACGTTACCGTTTGCCTCATCGCTCCATGTTCTGTGAGGAAGGGACGGCCGAAAGGTCACCTCAGGACTGCAGGTGTCGATGTCAGCTTTATCTAAAGTAAATGATTCTTGAAGAGGTCTATGATTCGTGAAGTGAGTATTAGTGGACGTCTTCATCACTTTGCACTTAGCATTGTCTGTTTTCTCTCCAACGCTGTCCACAGTTCCTCGAGCTGTAGCGAGAAGCCTTCTGTTTGCTGATGTGTTCCTGATGCACATGCAGTGTTCCTGGCTACACAGACAAATGGGAATAATATAATCCCAATCTGGCTTTTTGTTCTCTTGCTGTATTCCATTTTGGGAGTTAAGAAGACCGTCGATGTGTGGGGTTTCTGTCGCAGATGTTTGGAGCAGGCTCTCTGAAGCGAGTGGTTTGGATTCCAGAGCAGTGGTGAGTTTGGAGAGGCAGGGTTTGGGGGCCAGCGCTGGTTTGACCCTCCTCGGCGTGCCAGGAGACCGGAGTGCGAGGCAGTCTCTTCGGGGGGTTGAGGGAGACTGCCCTGGCCTCTGGGGCTGGGCCAGCTTTGGTTTTGGGGCCAAAGGTGGCTTTTGCATACCTAAGGACAGAAAAAACAAGAGCTATGCACTTAGGATTTTATGTAGTTTTCTCCCCCGAATTTCAAATCTGAATGACATCAAAAAGATTATGGATCTAATCTGAGACAATAAAAAGCTCATTCTGAATATCCAGATGGTATATTTGATGCATTTTCAGTAGTCTGACAGATGTTGCCCTAATGACGGTTCACTCTTTAACTGTTCGGCTAGCACTGATCCTAACCTAGTGACAGCTTAGTGTAAAACTGCTGTAAAGTACTAAACCACCTCTGCAGGGGGGTTCAAATATCCCATTGGCTTATGTTTGCCACTCAAATCACACAACAGCACAGTAAGCCGGCTAATGGTGTGTGTCAACAGACAGAGAAGGAGGAGGAGGAGCAGATGGTAGATGAAGAGTGGGAGAGAAATGGAGGAGGGGATACAGGGACCGACAACGAGTCATGCACCTGGTACTTCTGGCTCAAATTGTGTCCTTAAAACTTTCTGTGGGGGACAAAACAATAACACACTGACCTGCTGGCAGGGAGGGATGTTGTTGTTTTTTTTTCCCTAAGCACATATTTCCTCATTCAACAAGCCACAGGTTTGACACCAAACACATCTACAAGTCTACGAAAACACTCACGAATTTTGATTTGGGGATTTTGGAGTTACAGACAAGGACAAGGGTAGAGTGTGTCACAATTAATGATAATATATTTCTGAAAATCACGATTGCCAGTCACTTACCTGTCCAATACACACATGCACACAGTCTGTCTTCTGATGCTTTTTATCTTGAATCCTTTAATACATTTGATTATCTGTGTCAGTATACATTTAAAGTAGAGTAGCTTGAGCTAGACGCCCAGTACAAACATTACTTCCGTTGCACTGCTTCTCCCTGTGTAACAATTGATCTGTATTGTCCCTAAGAAATAAAATAAACTAACACACAAATAAATACATGGTTCAGTCGTCATTAAACTTTTTAAAATAGATTTGGTCTGTAGTGACCGCGCTGTCACTGAAAAAAATGTTTGACCAGAGCAATCATCGAGTTTCAGTCACTTACCTGAGTTCATCATCGCTTCACGCACTTCGCTTCTGTTTTTTGTCAATTGTCATTAATCAGTAACCACCGTTGGTGTCCGGATCATCTCAAGCCGTCGATGCCAAATAAGTCATCTGTTAAAAAGCGACATTTTGACCGCTTTTGTCAGAGCAACACATGTCGATCCTCATCGCAGCCGCACCGACTGACTGCCAGCGACGTGAAGCAAAGAACTTCCTCTTTCTTTCCTTAAACAATCCACTAGGGGTCCAGATCGATCAACAAAGAAAGGTTAGTGACTGTAAAGTAGAAAGTGCAACAAGAACTTTGAAGGAATGTTGTACACACTACATTCTCTTCCAACCTATCAGTATTTCTACACACTTGAATGAAGACTTGCTCATCTTGACACAGGCATTTCCTCCCACACATCTTTCCACATACATCATCATCATCGCTAATATTATCCGACTAGTATGAAATATGAGTGGGAGGCAGCTGATGCTTTGAGGAAGTAAAAATAAAAAATAAAAAAAATTTAAAAAAGCATTTATGGTTGTTGTTTTCATCATGCTGTTACTTTGTCACCATGTTCATGAATTAATTCTTACAGGAAACAGCTCGGGGAGGGACATGGATTGCAGCTTGTCAAGATCCTGAGACATAAGATTTAAAAAAAAAAAAAAAAACACGAAAAATAAGTAGGCTACTGGATACTTTGGTGTTTTTATTAAATCTGCTCGTAAAATATTACAATGAATGCAGACGTTTCCCATTGATATTTACAGAAAATGGAAAAGCAAACTGAAACATCAGCTGCCACTGATTATCTTTGATGACAGATATTTAGCCCCAATGCCTCTATGAGTTGCCTGTTAAGACTAAAAGTTGAAAAAAATAAAAAGTGCATTTCGGGAACAGATGGGACTAATCAGTGACTTCAAGTTGCATTGTAAGCAAAAGAGGCATTTGCAGTTGGATTGCACATTAACCCAAAAGCATTAACCCACAGTAGATGCAGTTTGGAGACTTTTTAATAACTACAAGTGGATCAATATGGATATAATCCCATCCCTGGAGCATATTCAGTGTGTGGTAACAGGAACACGGGTGAGTGCTAGAGTCTTCTGTGGTTTGGTACAAACGTCTCTCCGCCGTTGGTGCGATACACGAGGAAGTTGATTGTTTTTTCTGTTCAGGAATAAGACATCAGGCACATGATTCATCTTCAACAATGTCTTGGCAGTAAAATGTGACGCGAACACATCACATGAATTGAAGTCAGGAATAATTCAGTCACAAACCTCTCATTGGCCTTTTCTGCTGAAGCAGTCAGTGTTGTGTCATCTTCTCTTTTTAGAGTTGCATCCTGCGAGTTTTGTGCATCTGTGGCTGCAGGTGAATCACTGCAAGGAAATGACAGAAAACTATTAACACATGTGGTGGAAAGTAAAACATACAATACTGGGATACTTGTACTGAGTATTGAATATTTTAGGATATTTCACACTTTACAAAAATAACTTGTGGTCTTTGTTGGACCAGCTTCCTTTAGATTAAACTACCCAACAGTACATAAAGCAGATAAAAAGTATTGCTTGCATATTTATACGTAATTAATACTGATCCAATGATATAGAACTGACAGGTACCATTCTGCCAAATGTGTACTTTTACTTTTGGTACTTTATAAACATGTTGGTCTTAATACTTTGATACTTTTAATTCAGTAAACATTTGAATGCTTCTTTTAATGGGGTAATTAACAGTGCGGTACCGCTACTTCTTCCACCACTGATGAACACATTAGAAAAAGTTAACTTCTCAAATTCTTTATGACTTAAATGTATTTTAGTTCAATAATTCACCTTGAATGTGCTTTAAATTTCACAATGATCATTGACAAGCGTTTTAAGTTTAATCTCTTTACATTCACACTACATTACAGCGATGATCCAGGTTCTTACATCAGATTCACACTGGGTATGGTGTCGTAGTACCTGAACTTGTAGTCTGAAGAGAGGCTTAGACCTAATCTGTAGTCTCCCCTGGTTCTGGAGATTTGCTTTTGAAGGTCCCTGACAGAGCAGCTGTGACCACTGGATGTGTGGCCCACAAACAGCAGCTTCCCTCTGATGTACATCTATCACAAGGACACAGAGAATTTACTTTAGATATTTCGAAAAGGAGATGTATAATACAATGTGAATAAGACTAGGATGTCTGTTTGATTTATGGACTAATGGAGAATTTTTCATCTTACAGCAAAAATCAGTGGAGCAGCTGTCGTGACTTTGGGCTAATAATTAGACGACCCTTTTGTAATTAAGAACCCCTCACTGCTTGCTCGACTAAAGTACTGTTATAATAAATGTTTGGCTTTCTGGGAAAAGACAGCACCTTACCACAGTCTTCCTCACCCCATCCCCTTCATGCTATCACCTCCTCTGCTTAAGGCAAGCACTGCTGCTGCCACCCAGTGGGAACCATGAAAACCTGCACCGAGCAGAGCCTGCAGCCTTTAGTCGAGCCTGCAGTGCGTTTACTGACCAGGACCATTCCAGGAGCAGCGTTGTGCCGCTGCTGCAGCAGCATGTTCTCCCCTCCACAGCTGGGCTGCCCGGTTGACATCGCATACCTCACCAGGCGAAATGAATCCATCTGGCACTAGATTTAAAAACAACACCAACAAAAAACACCTGTTACTGAGTTTGCAGAAATACATTCTGTATCCTGCTGACTGTAGTTTGTCTTTCACTGACCCTTTGTTTTGTAGTCTGTGCAAAGCTGTGTATATCTAAGTACACATTTAGCGTACTTGCTGATTATGTAATCTTGATAATATTTTACCAACAGTGATACAACAAACAAATGATGCCCACACTTTCAATCAGGGACTGTAATGATGCCTGGCTGAGTATACATACAGTATATAGCAGGTGATCAAAATAGAAATTGCTCCATATTGTGTTTTTGTTACTTTGTCTACCCCCTGTGTGTAAGACAGCTCTCACACCTGAGTACACGGCATGGTTCTGTGCTTGTTCCTCCTCCTGTAAAGCTGCTCCAACACGTCCTGCTCGGACACCGCACGTGTGTTGACGGGTCGGAGCGGCAGCGTCGCGCACACCACCAGGATCTGCTGACTGTGTGAAGGCTGGCCCATAACGAAGGCATCGTACTCCAGGTCCGTGACCACTGGCATCAGTGTAGCGCTGCAGCAGCACCGCCTGCGCCCCCCCTCCACCAGCAGGGCAGCTCTCAGCAGAGCAGGGCACACTGTGAGGGGGGTGGAGGTGGTGAATGACGGCGGGGCTGGACAGCGGGCGACAGCAGAGGGCTGCAAGTCTGCACTGTTTGGAATAATCGCTGACCTGGCAGGGTGGGGGCGATAGTGAAGCTATCATCGTAAATATACTCTTGCTCTTATAAACTGCAGTATATGTCATTTTCTATGAAATAACATTTAAATCTGTTGCTGTGCCTGTCAGTATTACAAGTGGGTCTTACTCAAGATTGATGTTGCCATAAATTTGAAGTGGTCCTATCCGTGTGACACAGGGCTCCTCTGTTTGCTTTTTTGGTGTCCTGGCAACATACAGGTAAAGTCAGTGAAATGTTATATATTGCATAATATTAGTATAGTATACATCTGTGCAAAGTCTAGCAGAGCTCAAGCATTTGAAACTGATCAATAAACAATGTGTTTCTTTCACTACTGCAAAATCAAATCACTGGCTTCTGTTTAAGGTAGGCAGGCAGGTAAAGTGGCACCTTGGCAGCTTGACGTAGAAGTCCAGAGGTTTTTCTGACAGATGTCGGTGTAGCTCCCGTAACTCATTCCTGCCCTCCTCAGGCCGGACTGGTTTAACATCGGCCCGCTCAGGTGGGTTCAGAGAGGGCAGAGCGGCCGACTCTACCTCTCTCCTCAGCCTGGTCCTCAGTGGGGCAACTGACATCCGCTCCATGTCGGGACACTTGATACCTGGGGGAGAGGAGGAGGTCACTCAGAAATGCACACTGACACAAGTGACCGTGAACAAGATCCTGATGGAACTATTCAATAATGTTGAGTTTGCAGGATGAGGTGATACTGTAACTTTTTGTTTCACTGAATCACTCTGAAACAACCTTACTGGGTCAGATTGGCTCAAATATACTTTTTTTTTTTTTTGCAAGGCCTACTTTAATAACTCAAAATGTTCAGTACATCCTAGCTGGGAAGTGTGAACACACTATGCCCATTTCAGAAAGGCCGTGTGATCAGGTACGTACCGATGGCCACATGGTAATAATTCAGCCAGCTGTCCAGGGTGTTTCGGACTCTCTGCTGAAGCCTCTTCAGCTCCCTGCCAACATGCCCTCTTCTTCTCCACTGTGCTGATGGCTCCTCCACCTCGCCGACCATCTGGAGGACCTCCGGGGAGAACACAGACACCTTCCATACATCATTACTTGCATGGTAGATTATATGATATAGAACAACAAAAGGCATTTTGCGAGCTGTTTGATACAAAGGGACTCAGTGAAGGCATCTTCAAATGTATTGTAACAGCTTTTTTGGGTCTGTTCTTCTGATATGTGGGTGTTTGGAGTCCATAATTGTATTTCATGCTTTCATGTGGTGATAAACCGTCTCTTACGGGTGTTAGGAACAGGTTCCTCTTGCTCTCTAGGATCACAGCAGGGGATTTTGTCTTCCTCAGCAGCAGGAGGTCTTGAGCAGAATCAGAGGTAAACGTTCCTTCAGTCTGCAAACAAGTCTGTCAATTCAGAGTAGACGTTATAGATTTTAATTGTTTATCATAAATCTAATTTCCCCCCAATATACTTGGTAATCTCACCGCTTCCTGTGATCGGTTAATGTTGGACAGAGCCGAAAGAGCAAGTTGAACACTTTCGTTGTTACACCTGAAGCTGAGAGTGGCAGACGTACCACTGAGCAGCCTCACGGAGATTACATCGGACAACTATAGGAGACAAAAACACATTTACGGGTTTCTTTAAAATGGACACAATAAATAATAATCAGTATGGTAAGCACTCATAAATTGTGATGAATTCATCCATGGTTATCTAATCTGCACACTATTTTTACAGGATAACACTGTACCCTGTTATAAAAGCTGTCTTGGTTCTGTCAGAGGCAGTTAGTGTTCCTTCATCAGTAGGTCATGAGTCATACCTCACATGCCCTGCTTTGTTTCCTCTAAATGTGACCCTTCCCATATGCACATCTCACAATTATCGCACATGACAGGTTCTCTCCAGATTCTTAACCCCTTGGACTACCCTTGTCACTGAATATATTTCTTGTCTGGTGACTGCCTCCGACCTGGTCTCTATATGTAACATGTTGCTGACTCTGTCTGCATATTGCACAAATAACATGGACATCATTATTTTATAAACGCAAATATGTTATTGGTAGAAAAGGTTGTGGTAGTCTCACTATAACTGTGGCTTCACCTGTATACCAATCTTCTTCCTTAGTGTGCGATTTGTCTGCCAGCTCCATTCCTTAGTGATGTTCCCATGATGGTCACACAGGAATCCACCAGCCTGGTCCCACACTGCTGTAATGGCAGAGCTGGAGGAACATTTTACACATCATTCAAGCTGTCATCAGGGTTCCAATTACAGCGGGGATTGAGGGGGTCTGACCCCCTAATTAAGACTTGAACCTCGAAACAATTACATATCCTCCCTACCTGTAATCATAGTGAAATATTACAATATATTTCCCTTTTTAATGTGTAGAAGAATCTTGTTATACGATTTCAGACACCCCTAAAGTGGACCAAACCATTCAAGTAAAATTGACCTCCACGGGGACAGACCTGAGTGGCTTTGGCATTCTGCTGTGTGTTAAACATCTTCGTACATATCAACACTGAACTCACCTAAGACAATGTGTCACGGCCCCGTGCCCAGACGCCGTGATAGTCGCCAGAATAACGGGACACTCGCTGTCACTGAACACGTTGGTATAGAAACCTCCACAGGGCAGACCTGAGTGACTCTGGCATACTGCGATACAACCAGACGGGTAGCTGAGAGGACAGAGTCAAAGGTCAAAAGGTTTAGCTGCAGTGACACATAATGTCGTACACTTCTGGGACAGCTGCTAGAATTAAAATATGTATGAATAAACAGGATGCGAGTAGAATACTATATGAACGAGGAGCCGTCTTCCATCCTGTAATGTAGTTTCTGCTGTTCTGGATCCTGCTGCTTCACTTCTGGTACCCGGGGCATTCCATCGACTAAAGTGGCAGGTCGGGCCGTTCTCCTCGCTCTCCTGTTATTCAGTTTGGCCTTTGCATCACCATAGTGACGGAGTATTAGGGGCTTGCTCAGGTCCTGTGCAGCTGTTTGTAGTTTTCTACGCGGAGATGAAGTAAACTTTTATGCTTAAATAACTGATCTCTCATTTAGTATTTATGAGGAGTTACACCGCAAAATGAAGCATCTACAACTTTCAATATCAGATGACCAAATGTAAAATTCAGTAGAGCTATGTTTCTTGTCATAAATGCTAATAAACATTCTCCAAAACTGAGAGATTCATTTAAATTACTCATTAAAAATACATAGAATCTACAAAGCTAGAACTATTCTTTAAACTAAATGCTAACATCAGCATGCCATATGTCCACAATGACAGCGCTAACATGCGGATATTTAGCCAAAGTTATTACAATTCAACACAAATGTCTGGACCGACTGATCGAGCAACATTGTCCTCCCTAGAAAAATCAGATTATCCTATCGGATAATACATTTTGTAATGTAACCCCTCATTTGACAAATATTTCCCACAGGCCAAATGCAGCAACACACTCAGGACTTCTTGCCGCCTGGAGTCGCTCCACCGCCCACTGACACAAACTGATCTGCAGAGGCTCATCACAGGAGGTCTGCGTCGGCTGGATGATCCAACCTGGACACAAATCACATCCAGCTGAGGCAGCAGGGCCACACAGTCAACCACAGACACAGGGGCCCCCCATTAACACGATGCTTCAGCTCCATGTCTTACCTGGATTACTGCAGCTGTTGGATAGAATGGAGAAACTGACGGTGGTGGAGTTGTGAGCTGTTGGAGAGTGAGAATGTGAAACTCGGTCAATGTGTCATCTGAAGTCTTAAATTCACGTTTTTATTGAATCGGTATAGACAATACTGGCCATTTATCGGTCACTAACAGTTGCATCATGGAACTTAATAATGTAACTCAATAGCTCTGTAACTGATTAACAGACAGCAGTACATCTGTGCCTAGCTACCAGCTACATTGTCCTGTCTGGTAAACTAATCCTCTCACTTCCACAAGCTTGCAACTAAAGCTGTCCTCCAGTTCAGTCTTAAAAGGTCACGAGAAATGACTTAACGTTTTTTCACTTTTATCACCCTCATTGTTATTGTCTCTTACCTACATTAACTATGACACATAGTAAAAATATTGTTCTGTCTGTCCTGTCTTTTTCTCAATTTTACATAATTTGTACGCAGCATTTGCTAACAATGCATATTTTATAAAGGGTTTGGGCTGCAACTAAATGCTTAATTAATTGTTAATAAATAATGTACTTTTACTTTTTAAGCCAGTTGTAAAACATATTGTATACTTGTACTTATATTTGGCAAATAATGCATTCACATTTACAACCTGGGGGTTATTATAGTGGAACCCATTATTATTGACTTATCTTGATCAGCAGAGCTGTACCAGTAACTAACAAAACTTTCCATCTTGTTTTTTTCTTATCCTTGTGGAAGTGGGCTACCAAAAAAAAAAAAAAAAAAAGAAGTAATGCAGAGATTCATTCACCTCTATTAGAAGTGTGTTTTCGCTTTTGCATGCTTTTGTCTGAGCTGACTTGTGGTTTTCTCACAGAGGGACCAGCATTTCCCACAACACATGAGTTTCTCTCTTCTGCCTCCCTTTTGTCTTTGGCGGACACCTGACGGCATGAACCTTCATCCAACTCCACGGAACTGTCGGTCTGTTCCGGACTCTTCAAGTGCATCGACCCCGCAGTCAGATCTCTCCAGGAGTAATTCAGAATATTTACAATCCCGTGAGGAATACGCCCCTCCTCGGTCCACTTGTGTTGTGAGAGTAGTCGAGCCACTTCCTTCAATAACCGAGGAGCCGCTCGCTTGTATGCACCCATTGGATCGTGGTCCATTGTGTCGCGTGCAGCACCGACAGCCGATGAGGTATCAGGTTTAACATCTCCACGTGTTTCACCTGACAGCTCATCAAGTTTACCTCCTGCGTTGTCGTTCTCTCGATTACTATGAGAGGGAAAAAATGAGAAAAAGCTTTGGTCACATGAGGAAAAGGTAAAGTGAATTGTAGCGATAAGGGGATTGAATTACCTTTGTGTTATGTCTTCTGACTGCGCTCCTTCATGTACCAAATTAAAATGCAAAATGTTGCTTCGTGCCCCTTTAATTCGATTTCGTTTTGTTGGCTGCGAAGAGATCAGTTACAGGATTAATATCTTGTTTCTTTAAAACTAAAGTCAGTGAAATGAATCATTAGCCCACCTGGTCAAAGAAATACAAAGGGCCACTTCTGAATTCCTTCAGCGCGACAGAAGAAGTCATTATTCCCTTAAAAAAACCACTTGAATTAAAAAGAATACATCAGTGTTTCTACAATTTCACTCTTAAAATCATGCTTTTAAACATATTTTAAAAAGGAAAGAAAGATAACTTACCCAACAAAGGCTGGCCTCATGGTAGATCAGCTGCTCTCTCAGGTTTGTCTGAGTTCAGGAGGAAAGGTGAACCTCCCACCCCATTGTATTGTATGCCCCCTGTTGAGTGGGTCCTAATGGTAGGCTGCCTTTTACCTGCCTGCAGTATTTGAACTGGGAAAAACGGCGCGTTCGATGTACTGATACGCCCGGTGTCCGCAGCGAGTCCGCTGTTTGACGGTGCGCGATCCGGGGGCGACCCGTATCCGGTGCGCATGGCCGAACTGAGTGCGACAGTACGGCGGATCTGCCGACCTGAGGGCGAATCCGCCCCGGAGTCGACTGCTATCTGGGTATATACTGTGTAATACCCAGGTCAGCATCGTTCCGTTGAAAACCGTTTAAAAGGCGACTGTGGTCTCCGGTGAAAAGACCTTCAAAACTGGTCTAAAAGTCAATATGTTTTTCTAGTACTTGTTTTATTTACAGATGTCCAGCTTATGAAAATATGGCAGATCTCCTGAAACCGGCTCCTGTGTTGGCTTTGAAAACGACGTTTAAATCAGGAAAAGGAGATGGTTGAATATAAAGAACATTGTTTATTATTATATTGTGCTTAATAAATACAAATGAATGGTTTCCTGTGTCACTTGGTCTTTTGTCCTGTAAGTGGAAACTGACGATGTGTTACTATGTATTTGTGCCAAAATGTAATTTCCCCTACAGGAGAACATCTGATGATAAATGAAAGTTTCGCTCCTCAGGACGGTGCACGATCGTCTTCCTCGAGGCTACTCGGGTCAAGTTGTTGCTCTCTAATAGCTCATTATTGGCTCAGATTCCTCCAGCACACGTTGCTGCTTTGACCACTGGAGGCTCCCAGCAGCTTATGCGTCACTTCATCTCTCAGTCGCTGATCATGGCGGAGCTACAGCGCGATGTGGAGCTCCAACTTCTCAACGGGAATGACTTGAACGAGGACAGAGAAGACCCGGACGCCCCAGAGTCAATAAAGAAAAAGAGAAGAAAGAAGAAGAGGAGTAAGACCACCGCACCAGGTAAGAGGCATCACCAGAGAATCGGTTGGAAAATAAATAGTGCAAAAATTGTCTCCTCTAGTGCCACTCGATATGGAGCACAAGCATCAGATAAGCGGGACAGGAGACTTTCCAACCTGTCAGATGGCATTCCTGTCCAGCTGTCCCAACTCTGAGCGGCTGCAGCTGAGCTCATTTGGAAACGGGACAATCTCTGTAAATGGGAATTTATTATCAAAACTGATTGAAAGCTGTCATTTGAAGATATTGGTGGAATACAATTTAATTTTACTCCAGATTAAATATGTTTCATTAATCCCACTAAACTGCATGAAATTATGTAAGAGAAGTATCCACATCAGTTTTAGTGCAATAATATGACAACCACTGTATTATTTAAAAAATAAATAAAAACAAAGAGCCATATGCTGCCTCATAATATGGAGGGGAAAAAATCTCGGAAAGCCTGACTTTTTGAACCTGCCATAAGTAAAGTGTTGTACACACAGCTCAGTTGAAGGGCTATATGTCATTATGCTGCAAGGTACATGTGCCCTTGAGGATATTGACTCCCAAGGCATAGAAAGAAATTATGCACAGACATTGCCAAGTTGAGATCGTAGAGGATGCACTTTCTTGAAATGACTGAACCACAAATAATTTACTGTGTGTGTGTGTGTGTGTGTGTGTGTGTGTGTGTGTGTGTGTCCATGCGTGCATCTTCACCTGCACATGCATGCACGAGTGTGTGACTTTGCAGCAGGGGCAAATGAAGCTGAGGGGGATGGAGAAGCTGGAGGTGTTGGTGATGTGACAAAACAGTTGGAGCAGCAAACACTAGAGGACAAAGAGAGGGAGGAGGATGGAGAAGAAGGTAACTCCTCACCACCACCACCATCCTCATCATTCTGCAGTGGTGACTGCTGAACTTTAAGCTCCTGAAAATGCACGGTGAAATTCAGCCGGTCATATCTGCAATCTGATATCTGATTTTCAGTAGCACACTGGGAATTGTGCCCAAGCTCCTGTCGATATTTCTCACTTTACAAACTGCACTGAAACTAATGATGCTTTCAACAGATGGGGATGAAGGGGTGAACTCAGCTGGAAAAAAGAAGAAGAAAAAGAAAAAGAAGAAAGGATGTAAGCCGTTTTTCTCAGTGTAGCACATTTATTTACAGTTTGCTCCAGATTACAAATTCACATTTACTCAATTTAGAATTTGAATTGAAACTGCAATTCACATCCGGTGACAGACTATATATTGTTCCAGAGGCACATCGGATTTTATTGATAGACTGATACTCTAAGTGCTTTTTAGTGTTAGAATTGACTGCATCAGATTAACTTTGAATCACAGATAAATACAACAGGTGCACAAGAGCAGGTTGACTTTGGTTAATTAGAGTCATGACAGTTATATAATGTAGGACTGACACAGGAGGTGTAGGACAAAATGCTACAGGACCGTACAAGTCAGACAGGTTAACATTTATGACATAATACTCAGTGCGTCCTACATATCGTTATAACCCACTATATATATAAGCTTTTTTTTATTGCTTCCAATTTTTCTTGCAATATAATTCAACGGGCTTCTTTGACTCATGGGGATGTCTTGATTGATTAGATCTGTAAGTCAGGAACTGTACTGTATCCTCTAGCTAGGTTGAAATGCTAATGTCATGGACATGGGGAGAATAACTTGTGTTTTCTTTTCTCTCTCCGACTGCTTTCATCTGTTTCTCCTTCTCACTATCTGGGCCACAGTGAAGGGACAGACTGACCCTCCCTCAATCCCTATTTGTGAGCTCTATCCCAGCGGAGACTTTCCAAAGGGAGAGGAGTGCGAATATCCACCATCGAAAGACGGGTGTGTGACCTCCACATCGTCCCTCACACTCAGCAGTAGTCGTCCACTGTGTGACATGCCTAGTTTTTATTTGGGTCTCTCTGCTTTGCACTTGGACATGAGGTGCAATGTTTAGTGTGTGATTTAATATCCTGTTCAGGAGCAAACTGATTTGTCAGGTTTGACAACACGACCTGTGCAGGGTTCCCACAAGTGTGTCATGTCCTCGTTACAAGTATTGGTATAATGAGAAAATAATGACTTCCTCCTCTCCGCGGTGTGCCTCCCACCAGGCGCAGTGCAGCGTGGCGGACCACCAGTGAAGAGAAACGGGCGCTGGACATGGCCAACGAGGAGATGTGGAGTGATTTCAGGGAAGCGGCCGAGGCCCATCGGCAGGTCCGCTCGTACGTCAGGAGCTGGATCAAACCAGGGATGACCATGATTGACATCTGGTGAGACATGCGCTGAGATATTGTCCTTGAGCCCCATTTAATGGACTTAAATCTCTGCTGCTCATACCTACCTTGGATCATTTGTGACTGACATTGATATGGTTTCAGCACCTCTTTGTCCTAGCCTGCAATATACTGTTTTAAAATCATCAAAGAAAGCAGAACTGCTTTTGTGGTTTCAACCTCTTCTGGATTCATTATCTGCCCTGACAACAGTCTCATTGTTCCTGTCACCCATTGTCCCTTTGTGCTGCTTTCTGTTTCTCGCAGTGAGAAGCTGGAGGACTGCTCCAGGAGGCTCATCAAAGAAAACGGGCTAAAGGCAGGCCTGGCCTTCCCCACCGGCTGCTCCATCAACCACTGTGCTGCCCACTACACCCCAAACGCAGGAGACCCCACGGTGCTGCGTTACGACGACGTCTGCAAAATTGACTTTGGAACGCACATCAACGGTAAGAGCTCGCTAATAACTTTTTAAGTGCTTTTTGAGGTCTGCTGTGCCATTTCACACTTGGCATTTATTATGACATGGTAAAATGATGATTACATTATAATTCTTACTGCCTGGAATAAACTGTTCTCGCAAGTTAATTCACTTACACTTTTCTTTTTAGATAATTAAATTCTGAATATTTCTACAAAATGACAACCACATAGAAACTGTTGTGAGTAACCAAACTTTTTGGTCTTTTAGGTCGAATAATAGACTGTGCCTTCACCGTCACATTCAATCCAAAGTATGACAGGCTGCTGGAGGCTGTAAGAGACGCAACTAACACCGGTATTAAGGTAATACAGATCTTCCCCTGCACGGTGCTTGTTTGTACTGATGGTTACACAAAATAAGTTGATTACTGACCAAGGAATGAAAATAATCATATTCAGATCACAGATACATTAATATTTATGTCCAGATTGCAAAGTATTACAATTACATTTTACAGAACTTTACAGAGGGGGACATACAAATGATATATACAAAACCAGGAAGTAATGATAACATAAGAAAAATTGGAAAATATTGAAGTGTCACAGCAACAAAAAACGAACGGATAAGTCAAATTCAAAAAAGTGGATTTAATATGTTGCAAATGTGCACAAATACAGTCACGCAATGGCAAGAAGAACAACATATATATAATTCATGCTCTAGATATTAGTGGCTCCTTTAGTATAAATACGTTACCTTAAAAAAATAATACTTGTACACATTTTGAGCAAGCACCGTGTATAATATAGAAAATGAAAAACAAGTATAACAGGTACAATATATATAAACAGTAACTACCAAGTGTATCGAGAATCAAATAATCGGGAGATAGGAAGTTGCAATAAGTGATGAAATACAAAAATTGCACTCATTAAGGTTTTGTTCTTCTTATTACCTGGTTCAGATTTTAAGGAGCGATTCATTAAGGTGGTCAGGGTACAGATTCACATTCAAGGAACTAATATTTAGATACAAGTATAACATAGACTACAGTAGCTACTTTTCAAGTAGTTATATGATGCATGTTTACACCTCTCTGCCTTAGTTTGCAGGAATTGATGTGCGCCTGTGCGATGTTGGTGAGACCATTCAGGAAGTCATGGAGTCTTATGAAGTGGAGATAGATGGGAAAACATATCAAGGTAATAGGAGGTCATTTATCATCTCTTTTCTTTCATGCACAGGTTCAGTGCTGCTTCCTATTTATTCAACCTCTGTGTGGTGTTCTCTTTATAGTGAAGCCAATCAGGAATCTCAATGGCCACTCTATTGGACAGTACAGGATACACTCAGGGAAGACAGTCCCCATTGTTAAAGGTGGAGAAGCCACAAGGATGGAGGTTTGTACAGCAGCAAATGTTATTTCATCGTAGCCAAATGTGGATGTGACGACATTCTGGACCACAAAACAACACTGCAACCTCTTTTTACTGAAATTGTGTCTTGTGTTTTTGTCTGAGATTATACCTTTATTAGCTGCTTGACCTTGCAATTAAATAAACCTTTTTTTAATTCTTAAATGTAATTGTAAGAACATGTGGCTGGTTAGGGTTACGATGGGGTGTGGAGAAGTGTTCCCAGTCACTGCTCTAACAGCTTTTTAGTCACCCTCGTCAGCACTTTAATTACACCTTTAATGGAATTACCAGCCGCATCGAGTAGCAACACTTGTTAAAACTCCCGCTCCTCATTTCATTGTAAGAGTACTGATTTGTGGGCATCCAGGGCTCATTAACAGGCTGGCCCTTCACCAAGGATAAACATGGCTTTGCACTATCTTACATTTGCCGAGGACTACGCTGAGATCCACACCTGCACAGCTGCAGCACACCACTGTATTTGGACAGAACTGAGCATTTTAATTGGCAAGTAGCTGAGTCAAGCATTTTACCTGATGGTTTCAGGAGGGATGGGGGGGGCTTCTGCTGAGGTGGCAGATTTGTGTGTTGTATTTTTAGCTGAAGTGTGTTGGTGTAACAGGACCATTAGCCTCTTTGTGATCAGAGATTGGCAGCTGCGCGTGCCACAGGGCTGCTAGCACTTTGACTGATTATCGGTGCAGTGAGAGAGGGTGTCGCAGTGTTATCAGCTAATACCACAGGGACTCTAACAACAGCCAACCGCTGATAGAGACACAAAACGCCAATGAAACCCGGCCAATCAACTCACACGAGGCGCTGCTCCGCAAAGGACACTACTGTCCTTAATAGACTACAGATGAATATGTCAGCTGCTGGCATCCTGAGGTTTTTTATTAAATTTACTCTCAGTCCCCCCCCGGAGTGTTTTTGTCCTTTCAGTAACATCACACCCACTCAGCCCTGCATAATAGTGCATAGACTGTCATAGTTATTCTACATTTTACATCGGCAACCAAATTAAGTTTTTTGTCAATCTGTTTTTGTTGCCTGTCAGGAAGGTGAAGCTTACGCCATCGAGACATTTGGCAGCACAGGGAGAGGTGCAGTCCACGACGACATGGAGTGCTCACATTACATGAAAAACTTCAATGTTGGACACGTGCCAATAAGGTTGGCGCTGCTGTTTCCATCTCATCCCCGTATTCAAATAGAAAGTATTGATTCAGGAAAATTATTTGTAGGTCGATTTGCTCCTCATATTTTGTCTGCCAATCCGTCATTTTAACAAAAGAGATTGTGATTAGCGTCATATCTGAGTGATTGTTTACGTCTATAGTCAATCTCCAGTTTGTCTCACTGTGGTGTCTGTGTCATTACCGTGCTGCAGACTTCCAAGGGCTAAACATCTGCTGAATGTGATCAATGAGAACTTTTGCACTTTGGCATTCTGCCGCCGCTGGCTGGACCGCCTGGGTGAGAGCAAGTACCTGATGGCGTTGAAGAATCTGTGTGACCTTGGCATCATAGACCCGTACCCACCTCTCTGCGACATCAAGGGCAGCTACACCGCCCAGTACGAGCACACCATCCTACTCAGGCCCACCTACAAGGAGGTAGTGAGCCGGGGAGACGACTACTAATCATGCGCCAAAACTCAAGGCGAGCCAGGAGGAGCGTGACGGCTCAAAGACAACAAACCTCTGCAGACTGATAGCAATTATGCAATATTTCTCTGACATAAATTCCCTCTGCTTGAGTACCACTAGATAATTATTCTAGCAAAGGCAAAATACTTGTGTCATGGCAGTAGCTTGCTAGTATTTATTTTCCAAGGGATCGAGCCAATAGACAAAGGGCATATCTGTAACAAAGGTAGTGTTGCCATTTTAGTCACATTTTCATGTGCTGCTTTTCGGAAATATGCAAAACAAATATATGCAAAAGAAACATGCAAAAAAGGTTTTGGTGACCACCTCGCCTAAAGATGCTTAGCTTTATGCGTTGCTAAGACCTTGTGAGGAAACTGAAATGAAATACTTATATTTCTATAGTTCTTTGCTCTATTTTAATTTGAGGCACTTTTGTAAGAAATAAATCGTTATAAATATTGCATCAATTACTGTGTGCATAAGAGCTCCCAATACTTAATTACATTGCAAATATCTGATGATATAAAGGTGTATTTCCTTCCTTTTACCAAAGGAGGGCGGTACTTAAACATGAGTCAAACATCCTGCTCTAGTGAAGACATTACAGTAAGACACATCAGGCTATTCATAGTCTTGTACTTTAGCATAATGTCACCATGGAAAGAAACAGACTTTTCCCTGAAGCATTAAGAATGAGCACACCGATTTGTCGTTTTTGCAGTTTAGATGAAAAAAACAAACATATAGGACACACAGAAATAGCAATACAAATATCACATTGATGGCAGAGTACATTCATGCACCCTAAATCACTAATTTGTCCTTTACAAGAAAATCTCCAGCCCATTCTCTTATTTTGGTAAAGTCTATGGGACAAGGACATGAGCGTTGATGTCATGCTGGAGGAATGCATCATGTCTTCTCACAGAGTTTGTCCTTCTCCTTGGAGACAGCGGACCAGACCTATTCTTAACTGGGAACCTGTGGACTCCGGATCTGATATGCGGTGATGTCAATGGCTTTTAATACATGTTTATTTTGAGCCGGCAGGAGTCACAGGCCAAAAAGAGGAGCATACGTGAAGAGAGTGTGTGCTCTTTCTCACACTCACACACACACACACTCACACACACACACACACACACACACACACGCGTGGGTTTGGAGAAGCCTCTTCCTCCGCACAAGGAAGCAGGTTCGAACAAGGACAGCAGAAAATCCTCATAGAATGTGAATGGAGCAACCTGACAATGACCCATTCATGTAGCTGAACCAGCTGTGACAGCAAACTCAATCCCAAGTGTTTGAGCCGGTTGAGTGTACGCCAGGCCTGCAATGGTGGAGCAGAGTGTGTTTTGCTCTCGTCAGACAGCAGGCTTGCGAGTTTGCCGGCGCTGAGCAGAGCTGTTCAGATTAAGCCGTTTGATTCCCGTAATGTTTTTGTCATCCTCTCCCCTCGTCCAGGAGTTGCTTGTTCTGACCTGCAGTCCCAGACTCCCTGCGAAGGATATCAAGCAAGTGCACACATCCATGCTCACACACAATCGAATGTTGACTTCATTCATGATTTATCGGCAATATCTGTGAGACGACAAGGATAATTTACTCTGCGCCTTTTCAAGATTTCAAAGTAAACGTCTCTCAGTGAAATTGATGCAGTAGGACTTGACTGGCTCATCAAGGAACTTTGGCCAGGAAATAAAGTGTAATTGAGTTAACATGCTTTGCTTATCGTTTATAAATAACCTGGAAAGTCTACAGTACAGGAATGAAATTCCACCATCATCTTTGTTTTTGTTCAGATTAAAAGTCGCGCTTTGTTCTTTTTGACTTTTAAGTGACTGTAGTCTGGTGAATAATGTGCTTATTGCCACAGCACTGTGGCATTGTAGCTGTTTCCTGAGGATGTGCACTCCTCTTGAGACACACGCATTAGATTTTGCTTTCATTTTAGTGTCAAAGCGATGCCCAATTGGAACAGTCCCTCTGTTCCTTCTGCACACTCCGGTATGTCACAGATCATCCTCCACCTCTCCATCCCTCTGTAGTTCTTGCCGATGCCCTACCGGCGGCCACAGTCTTTCCTGAGGATGTGGAGGATTTTACGTCCCAGGGTTGAAGTCCACGATTTAATCAGGCTCTTGGTGTTGATCATCAGTCGGCCGGTCTTCCAGTCCTCATGACCGGCCACAACATATTCAGATCCTGGAGAAGAGAGAGCAGAGCATGAACCCTACTGAATCTCAAGTCTGCTGAGGATGCCACTAAAAATCACCTTATGTAAAAAAAGAGCGCAAATCATTATATAACTATAATAAATCACTCAACTACTGTGCTGCTATGGCCGGCTTTAAAAGAATGTTGCCAGAAATGATTATTGTAAAAGTGTTAGATGCGAGACAGTCTCATAACAGAGAGATGGCTCTAATCTTTAAGCTGTAAACGTCCAATCTAAATGAGTGATGCTAGGACGTTGGCACCCACTCTAAGCCTGCATGAGCAGCGACAAAGATCCTCTATTCAGCACAAAGATGGCAGATTGTTCACTCAAAGTTTTCCACTGGAAGTGGCTGCAGCTGACCTGGGTTGAGGATGGGACAGGTACAGCCATGGGTGGTCCAGGACTCTGGGTAAAGGGTAACGCTTCCCCTGTGGACCTTCATCTGGGGGTTCTGGTGCAAGACTTTCTTGACTTTGACCTCCACCTCTGCATGGGAGCCTTTATCGTGAGCTGACATTACCTTCACCACCAGCACTGCCAAGGCAACACAAACAGTTGTTCAACAAATTAGCAGTCTACCAACTACAAAATACAACTTCCACTGCTCAAACTTTTACAGATCCACATCAGTTTAAGTCATGAAGAGAACTACCAAGTTTCTGTAAACAGTTGTGTAAAGTCTTCTTTGGTCCTGAAGGAGCTTTTCTAGGTAAATAATGCGTTGACATCAGGATTTTTCATCTCGGCTTGGTTTTTGGAGACTGCACATTTATTAAAAGACAACATGCATTACATTTGAAAGATGCGAGTCTAATTAAAAGATGTTATTGAGTTGCAACATGGGAATTGTACGATCCTCCATTTACGGATCCAGGCTGTGGACTAAAAGTTAGATATCTTGGCCTCTGCTGCATCTATTTTGACCTTGAGGTGCAATACAACATTTCTTTAAAGATACCCGGTGGAGTTTCTGTTTTTGTGAGTGGGTCCTTGTTGTGTTTGTCCTGGTGCATGTGCCAATGGTTTCTCACTGATCTACAAGTGGCATTTTTTGTGCCAAGAACCAGAGCAATGCACCAGCAAAGGCAGGGAAGGAGAAGACTTCTAGCAAGTGAACATGGATGTGAACAATGCAAAGTTTGATGTGGAAGAAAAAGCATTCAAAACAGTTGATAGATCTCAATGATACAAGTAATGTACGTATTGTGATGAGTAACAACAAACGTAAAAGGAACATTGTATTATAAGAAACCTTTATGGAATCACTGGACAAGATATCAAGTGGAACAACCAACATGTTGAGTTTTATCACAGACATTGCCATGACAGGCTCACACAATACTGAATTAGTTCCATCCGTCAAATAGCACTTACCATAGTCATACTCCGCAGCACAGAAGAGTTTAGGGCTGCCAAGTGTGACTTCTACACACTCACATTTCTCTGGAAAAAAATTAAACAGGATGAAAAAGATTCATACAAATCACTTCTTCATGATGTATAGATTCCAACATCGAAACAGCTGCATGTAATCTGTGTGGGCTGATGAATGTGCAGTGTATTTGGTGCGATATGACCTGTGGCTCACCAGAGTGGTGCAGTGCAGAGAAAAGCTCCTCTAGCCTAAAGAGTGCCGTCTCACTATTATTGCTGCTGTGTCCCATGTGGCCGGTGGCTGTATAGAAGACCTCCACATCCGAGCTGTGCCGCAGAGGTAAAACCAGTCAGAGGTAGGGCTCTACTTAGTGTAATTCATCCAGAATGAGCCTCACTCACCTCTACGCCGTACATCATTAATCCAAGTAAAAATACATATGGATATGGTATTAAATCTTGGCTCTCACCCAGAAATGCAGTCACCGGTGTAAGGGTCACAGTCCCCTGTGCAGTCACATGGACGGCAGCCGTATTCGTGAAGCCCCCAGTATCCCAGCATGCAGTTGTCACAGCGGGGGCCTCCGACACCGGGCTTACAAGTGCACTCCCCACTGCTAGGGTTACAGAGAGTGCTACCTCCTGAGAGGACGGAGCCTACAGGGTGGCAGGAACAGGCTGCAGAGGAGAGGGGTGACAGAGCAATAGCGCTGCATGTTAACATCTCTGTTTGCAGGTCAAAAGACGTGTCTGCTTTTCTGGCAGAAAGCTATAAGCACTCAGTATACATTATGAGCCTGCATGTATGCGAAGGACAAACACACTTGTAGAAGCCCAAACAAACACATTTAGAGGGTACACAGTGAACTCCCGTGGCGATATGAAAAGTTTACTGTATTTTATCATCCTCCTGTAACAAGCTGGGAGTATGTACGCAACATGCTCTAAGCAGCTGCAGCAAAAACAAACAGTAAATCACTCCCTCTCTACGCTGTCAGACCTGCCGCCTGACGGTCCTTCATGATGACAGATTGATTTTTGTTACAGACTTGCTTCATCTGTTTCCAAAAACGGCATGTTTGGTCTTAAAAATGCTTCAGCATGCCTGGCGGGGCGAAAGGGCAAGAATGGGAAAAATGTGCTTGCATGGTCCATGGGAAATTCCTCCATTGTTTGCAATTACGGTCACATTCCAAAACAGTGCGGTCGCCGTCATTCCTGTTAAGGAGCAGACTAGAGTCATCTTACTATCTCATCACTGGGGAGGCAATGACTCAAAAAGGTGCTGAGGGAAAATAAGAGATCAATCTGCTTTAGTCTGGCGGGTCAAAAGAAAAATGTGATCTCCATTACTGCCCTCAAAATATCAAAGACTCCCACTCTTAATTGGAATTCTCTGCTGGCATTCATCCATACAGAGTTATGGTTTAAGGGGGGAAAAAAGAGCTACACTCTGCAGAAAAAGATTTACCTTTGCAGGAGTCGGGGGCGGTTTTTGGTCGGCTGGGGTCTCTGAAGAAGCCCCTCTCACAGTTCTGGCAGTGACGGCCCTCTGTGTTGTGGTGGCAGTCGTCACACACACCTCCACTCCGCCGTCCTGTCGCTAACCACGATCCACGACTGAAGTGACAGCTCTTGGCGTGACCATTACACTTGCACTCTAGGTTTAGATGGACATGCACAATCAAACACACTCAGATGTTTTTGCTCTGATGAACTCTCAAAGCCCCGGAGCAAGCAGTGATAACTCCTACAGTATAGCTGACATAAAAAAAAGAGGAACTGCTCCGTTATTCATCTTGCACGAGCGTCTAAAAGGTCACATGTGATTTATGAGACTAAATTCATTTTCAAGATACGTCTACATGCCGTGTGTCCTACTCTGCATTTGACTCCCTCGCCCCATCACTCACTCTGGCACTCGTGTGGCGTCCCTATGATGCCGTTGGCAGCCTGCCAGGGTTGGTCATTGTAGAGAGGAGCACAGCGCTCGCAGTGCTCACCGGCTGTGTTGTGTCTGCAAACACACTTGCCATGGACCTGCTAGGCAAAGAAACGTATTTAGCTCATTGTATCTGCATGCATCTTTCAATGACTGTGTGTGTCTTCAAGTGGCTCAGGAACAATGCTTAGAGAAAGGTGAGCAAGCAGTACTGCAACACATTGTGGATTAATGTATATTTGGGGAGTTTTCATCGTGTTCTCCTTAAACTGCTTTGAAATGTTCATCAGCGCGTTGATGTAATGTGGTCTTGGAAACCATTTTAAAACATTTTGGCCTGACGATGAGCCGGCTGAGATCTGTGATGTGTGTAATACTTCTTAAGCATTGCAACATACCAACATCTACATGCACAATCACAGCAGTTACACAATGTGCAGCTTATTACTGCCCGTGTAGCATGTCTACACCTCTTTAGCCCATCTTGGAATCAAACAAGCTCTTCTAGTCTCCATTTACAGTAAAGAGAATAACACGACAGAGACTATGGGTTGTTAAAGCATTAGGCTGAATACCATAATTAAGGTTTCCACACACTTAAATCCCTATAATGGTAGGTAAAGCTGTGGCACTTCACTGCAGCCTTCAGCTTCAGTGGCACATACCAGCGCACAGCTGAGTAACAAAGGAGTGGTGGGAACAAAACCCTGATCCCTCTACTCCCAATCTCACCACATAAACAAATAGCGATGGAGACGAAACGAAGCCATCGGCAGACTTCAGCATGACACAACATCTCAGTAAGTTTTCACAACAGAAGAGCTTTTCCTAAGTGGAGTATTGTGCACCTGCAAGCTCACAAAATCCAGCTCAAAATTCGCTCACCATGTTGTTGGTCTTCTGTTGGCTGGGTCGGTAGCCCACGGCTGGTACACAGTGGTCAGCGTGTCCATTGCAAAGGCAACTGCCTTTGACAATAAAATCATAGATGGCATAGTGGTCTGTAGGGAGGACAGCAGCACCAGGATGTTTGGCCTGGCAGGGACACTGCTGGCGCTGCAGGAGACGGACTCTGAGGTTGGTGATCATGAGCTGGTCCTGGGCGGCTGGTCCATACGGATCCACTGAGTTCCAGGGTGACAAAGCTCGATAGATCACCTGAACAATTGAAGGAGAGGAGAAAATGTCTTAATGTCTTGTTATTCCACTCGTAAAAGCCTCTATAACAGACGCTGACAGACCATGACATAAATGATGTCAGTTTCTCTTTTTTCTTGGTCTGCCAAATGAAAAACAGGCATCAATGTGGTTCGCCTTTCATGCTCCACAAATTTCTAGGAAAATCAGACAGAGACATGGACGTTAAGTTTAGTTGGATGTTGATCTTTCAGATACATCCTCTCTGTGTGTATATGAGAAACATCAAGAATTGAAATGGTCACAAAAAGAACAGCAAAGCAAAAAACACAAAAAGAATTGTGTTATTTTTATGGAAGCATGAGTGGATGAGTTGTGGACAGAAAAATATGTCAAATTGGACAAACTATATCCTCAATACATTTTGTTTTAATTTTCAATCAAAGTCTCATACCAGTTCTATTTGTCAGAAATTATGATTTATTTTGATTTACAATCCATACTTAATACATCCTGCATCGTCTGTTTGTTCTGTACACAAGAGAGACTTAATGCTGTATCAAAATGAATATACTGTATTTTATATAATGATATATTATGGTGAGTGATACATATGACAAGTTTTACTGTATAAACATTGCACTTGACAAATCGCAAGCTAGTTCTGATTTGCAATCTCATTACAGCAAGCCGAGAGTTTAAACTAAGTATATGATGCCTGTTGTGTTACTTTATTGCTGAAACTCTACATTTTGGGTCTTTTGCATGTTGAGGAACAGATAGACTATATTAGAAAGGGTGACATGCTTATACAAGTGAGCTGACACACTAGAGCAAGACACATACTTGCTCCAGATACACTGCAATTATGAGATCAGTCAAAGCCATATATTCTTTCAGACGTTCAACCAGAACCTCCCAATGTGGTCCGAGGCTCCAGTGAGAGTCTCTCTTGTACACCCTCTGTGTGAATGGACGGCCTGCTCATGAATTAATCATAGCTGGTTATCTGGCTCAGGCCTCCCTGTGATGATGCAGCAGCTCCAAAAAAAGTGAATATCAGAAGTAAAAGTACACATTGATATTCTATCCGTGCATGTCAAAGCAGTTTGCAGCTTAGAAGGCTGGCCTGACAAAAAAGGTCTCCCACAGCCCATCAGAGGAGGTCAGTTTACAAAGCAGCGGTTTGTTCAGTGGGCTGTGTGATATCAGCTTATAGTGCATCCCGGTGCCAATAAACAGACTTTGCTGTGAAGTGCTGGCACTGTGTTTTGATGTGGTCACTCTCAGATCTGAGAAATTAAATCACAATCCAGTATTTAAAACCTTTTCTATGAACGACAGCAACCTCAAAGATTACTGATCGTTGGCTCTTGACCCAATTTATAACAGAGTTTCTATGTTATTGTCCAGAAAACTTCCTGTGGAATCATTTTCAATTTCAATTCAATTTATCAGTGTCGCCCAATATCACAAATTTGCCTCAAAAGGGTGAAAAAACACGTTATTAGTTGATAGCTTTCTTTGTTATTTACCTGCAGAAGTAGTAACCTATGTATTTGTATGTGGCCTCCAAAGACACCGCTCTCGCGCCACACTGTCAAAAACAAGACACATGGACTCACCTCTCCTCTGGTACAAGGGGAAGCTCCTGAATACTTGGAGGTGCAGGTTGCTCCACTCTCCCCGACTGGCGACCCCTCTGCCGGACCAAACGCCTCCTCACAGTCTCTGGCAAAATGCCTGAGGGCTTTCCATGTGTGCCCGTGGTCTTGGGAGCGCTCCAGCACCATGGCAGCCGGGCGCGGGGAGCGAAACACCAAGATGAGATGGGTGAGGAGGAACTCCGTCTCCAAGTCGAGCTGGAGCGTTTCCTCCTTCACCCCCTCTGCGGACTGCCACCAAGTGTTTGGGTAGCGGAAAGAAGAGTCGCTCATGGCAGAGGGAGGGTGCGCCTGGACGGGGATAGCAGAGTTGCACTTGCTGCATTTTGCTGCCGAGCAGGGCTCCCTGCCACGGGGCGAAGCCGTCTCTCTGAAGACGCAGTAGGGCTCCGAGGAGTTGGAGCCGCAGACCGACTGGGTGCCCAGCATTCTGCCCTGGGCCAAGTTGCCCATGCGGGGGTTGCAGGCTCGTCCGGAGCAGCGGCTCTCCACAGCCGGACCTTTGGATTTAGACGTTTCTGGTAAGAAAAAGGTGCGTTCATTTTAGTGTAAAGTGAGTGAAAGTGATTTAGTTATACACCAGGAAAGGCAGGCCATTACTACAAAGGTGGTGAGTTCGGTTCCCGCTTCCCCCAACTCGCCTTCTTAAAAGGTGTGCACTACGCACGTGGATGCAACGTTTTCCAGAATCGCACACGCAATGCTTGTTTATGCGTGTATTCATTCAGAGTGTATTAAGTGCGCGCGTAAAAGTCTCAGACACACATGTTCAAACTCACCGGCTGGCAGAGGAGATGATGCGCACACCGGGATAATGACAAGTAAAGTCCACAGTCTCATCCTGAAGGAGTTGTTATCTTCTGCTTGAAGTCACCTGTCGTATATTCAACTTGGAGCGCGCCCTCAACAGCTTGATCTAAGGATATCCAGACGTCAACGTGTTCCTTTCCGATAAAAAATAATTACTTGAAAATAATACTAATAATTTAGAAAACCCAGAGACTCGAACGTGAGCTTAATCCTGTCTGTCATGGGGTAGAAATGCCGCGTTAGACTTAGATCGTATTGTCTGAGCCCTCATCATCCTTAAATTATTCCAGCCCACGCGCTTCAGGGTTCAATCTGCTGTTTGTTCTTTGACATTTGGGAATATGAAGAGGTTAGCACCGCCCTCTTCTTGTCTTCTCCCAGTCCCCGCCCACACTGGTTCCGAAAATCAGATTTTTCAAAAGGAGCAATCTCAAAACCCTGGAAGACTTGTTCACTGTGTTTTAAAGGGGATGTTGTGATTATGAAGAAGATTATGACTGTGACTCTTTGTCATCATCTACTTTAGGACTATTTGTTTTTTATTAGTCTTAAACAAATAGTTGCATCTTTATTCTTTGGACAAGCATTCACTTTTTTTTCTCTGCATTCCTCAAAAAGCATCCGTAATAAAAAGCAGTTGGCTGTCATCCGAACAATAAATGAGACATTTAGATTGCCTCCACAACCCAAACACCCCCCCCCCCCCACCCTCAGGCACTCGAGCGCTGATCGTCAAACATGTCATTGTGTTGCATTCCTGCCACATATCACCACTTATTTCTAACTGCTAATCACTAACCACGCTTTACCTGCCTCGTCGTCAGACAGAGAACAGCCCTTGGCCTTGAGGGGTCACACAACCCTTGATCCCAATAATCATCCCGTTGCATGCCATTTTTTTCAAAAACTTTTAACAGTGATGTCACCTCACTGAGTCCAAAGACTGGCTCATATGATACTGCAGGTAGCTTTGCCACTTGATACCGTGTAAAAGCTTAACACGTGGGGTAGACAGCCAAGCACAGGAAGATGAAAAGGGAACAGTGTCATTGAGAATCTGCATCATCGCTGTGAATACATGAGGTCAGGAGTAATCTGTTCTCACTGTGAATGTGGTCTGTCGTGTGAATATTAAGTGTGTATGTTAAAGCAGAAGAATGGGGGTCATGAGCATTTCTCAGTCTCTTCCCTAAGGCATCCCAGATCAGGACATTCCTTGAATACTGCTACTCTCGTCACAGTGACGGGTCTCCTATGTTTTAAGGGGACAGGGTTCATGCCTGCGTGTCTTTAGATTTGCACGGGTTATTTCGGTTGTCTCCCGATTATCCGCCGGGGCCAGGGGTGATGAACCTTGAGCTGTTCTCTTTGTACAGCACTTGCGTGCTTTTCGATCCTCAAATCCCAGGAGTGACCGTGAAGAATGCTGCAGAGGAAGGATGTCTAATCTTGGCCAGTGTGTGGTGTATATTCCCCTGGCAGCATGAATGCGACGCACGTGACAAACAAATTCCTTTACTCTCTTTAAATCCAGCTGTTTGTCATTGTTTTTCTCTGTTACACAACTTGAATTCTACGGAGCCAAATCACCCTAGTTGTGTTTTACGATTAAACAGCCACTCGCTCATGTTTCTATGTGGGAATACTGCAGGAAAGTGCATTTATGAATAATGTTATAAGGGTTAGTTCAATAACATGAAATATTGGGGGGAAATACTCCTCTCATGTTAAATTACCTCCCAGCCTGCAACCGTCTGGTGCAGGACCTCCACAGCCAGCAGTGCTGCTGTGACATTGTCTTCTAATTGCCCAATAAGATGATGGACTTGGGGCCGTTCCACCACCGTTGGCCTGCTTTATTTCCAGACTGTAAAAGGATATGGGTCCCCCCCCCCAAGCTGCCATGTCATCTAGTACCTTCAGCTCACTGAACCGTCTCAATCCTTGCAAGTAATCTGTCTACTCTCCTGTAAAAGCCAGACACAAAGCCAGACATGCTCCAGGCCAGGAGGTGCCTTGCCCACAGGCTCCAAACACCTTCTGTCACTGCTTTTCCTTGCTCTTCATTCCATTTCTACGATGTTTATCTCTGCTATCTGTCTGCTTGTTCCTAGCCATAACACTCTCCTCACACACATTTTTATCAGATGGTTTGATCTGGAATGACAAAAAAAAAAATGAAACATGGTCTGCGTTCTGTAAATATTTGTCCTACGATGTAACTCTTCCCATGATGTAACTCATTTGGCATTAACAGTGTTAGTTATTCATATTATACAGTGACAGTTGAAAGGCTCTTGATTCTTCCTTGCAGAGCAAAGGCCTCCACTACCCGTCCACAGACATTCCCCTCACCACCTCAACCCTACTCCATCCAGACACTTCAGGAAGTTTATGCTCTATATTTCACGTCACCTTTCGACACACACTCACACAGAAAAAGACTCAACAGATGACCGAGCACCAGCCTGGATTTGAGAGTGGACACAGAAACAGGGGAAATGTGTTTCACCTTCATAAAAGACAGGCAGCCAGATGTGTCCCAGTTAAATTTTTTTAGCCTTATGGGAGCGGAAAGAAAACCCCACAGGGTGTTAAAGTGTACCTGTGTAATGTCATTTGCCACATGGCATGAATAAAAAGAGAAATAAAACATACAGTATCATGAACAGTAAGAGAGGAAACAGACACACGTTTTAATATTGTAGAAACCACAGGTGCGAGTTCCTGTTTGTGTATCTGACAGGTGATACAGGTTGTATTTCAAATAGTTGAACATGTTTAAGGTTACACAGGAAGATAACCAAATGCAAAGTTCCCCTTCATTTCACCTTTCACTCCAAATGTGGTTGGAATTTTAAACTTGAAATTGTGTTTTTTTTCCTCTTTTTTGTGTGTTTGTTCGCTGTATCACTTGTATCTCAGACTATTTTATTCTATTCTATTCTATGAAGATGTAGTCAAATCCACTGTTGTGGATGATAAAGTTGTATCGTATCCCTAAAGAAGAACCTCTACTCACAGTCTGAAAAAGGGATGCTCCTGGAAAACACATGGATTAGTTTGCTTGCTATTTGTGAATTTTTGGATACATTTGAAATTGTTCAAAGTGCTCCACAGTAACAGCTCTGTTAACATTCATTAACACACGTGTTTCTGTCATTTCCTGTCTGCACAAAAGTGTACAATAAAAATATCTATTGTACAGTAACCTTTTAAAAGAAACTGCTTAGTGTATACTTTAAAGCGTTGGCATGCAGTATTGAGATGCAGTTGGCACAGTGTCAGATTGTTATGAGTGTTTGATCTTCATTGTGCAGGGCTCATTAGGAAATGCCCATGCAAGACAGCCCATAAAAAAACCTGCCTTTCATTGTACACAGTATGGTGCCATGCAAAACACTGAGGGCATAAATCTTTCAAAAGGCCTCGTGGGTCACATGGGATGGCCCATGAGGATGTGACAGACATGGTGACCTTGGAAAGCAGATTGAAGTACTGCTGGCAGTTGTTAATCATGAGGATGCCTTCGGGCTGTTCCCAGTTTAAACTTTGCTCTCAGAAAATAGCTCCATTACTGAGAGAAAATTCCACCCACTGTTCCATTTTCTTGCAGTATTTACTGCTTTAAAACACAATTTAACGCAGAAGAAAGCCATAAAACATTGGAAAATTGGTGCTAGATTGAGGATAATCATAAAGTTTGTCTTGTGAAGCCGTCTATTAGCGGTTCTGATTGATGGTAACATGTCTTGAAGACCAAACCCTTTGACTTTTTTTTTACCTCAGGCGGGTGAGGTTAAGTAGCTCCCCGTGGATTCTCAGTGGAGGGGCAGACAGGATGATAATCTCAGTAAGGGATGGAGAAGATTCGAACCTGCCTGCACTATGAGAGGAATGTCGGCTGCCTCACGGATCTGCTTTAGGCTGCATGTCTGTCCCCATGTTGTTGTAATGCAATGTATGTTGAAGCAGCTACACAGTGCCTTTCTGTCTGACAGGTCAGGACAAGATGATTGTCTTCATCTTGGCTGACAGCAACCATTTATATTTAACATTACAAGCCTTTAATAAACCTCGCTGAAAGCAATTATCACGTTTGTCACGTTGTCACGTTTCTGCTCAACGGTCATTGATTTTCGGTTTACATCTCAATGACCCTCTCCCAGTGTAGTAATGGGATCCTTTAGAAGGTCAAAGTAGCAATACCAAAGTGTAGAAATACTACAAGTAAAAGACACAAATATACATATGTTATCAGGAAGAGACATATATTAAGTATAACAAGTAAAAGTATTCATAATACACAGGTCCGTTTATTCTATGGTCCATTAGAATGTCATGTTATTGCATTGTATTATTAGATTATCAATGTGTAATATTGTAACGCAGCTGTGGGACTCATTTTAACAATTGTATATACTGGTGGGTGTCACTCTAACAATGTATCATATTTTATGAAATGATGCTTTGTTTTATAACTAAAATCTTAGTCTGCTAAGTAACAAGGTACTCAAGCTCTCATATAAATGTTCTGGAGGAAAACATACACAATTTCCTTCTGAAATATAGAAGCAGGAAGTAGAAGGAAATATAAATACTCAGGTGAAGCACTGTATACCTGTGCTGTTTGAGGACACTGGTGTTTTTCTGTTACTGGTACCGATATCTACTGAGACTGTACTTCCCCTCTCTTGTGAATGTACAATGGGTTTAGTGAGACTGGCCAAAAGCTCAGTATGCACCCTTGCATGGTGCTTGCATGTAACAACGTGTGGAATTGCAGTTTATTAAACTTGTTTGAAATTGAATTTCTCCTTGCAGAATTAAAGTATTCGTTCTTAATTTCTTCTTGTTTCAGAAGCAAACACTATATACTTAAGATTAAGTGACATGAATGATTTTAACTGACCCCACATTTTAATTTTCTCAAGAATGTAATTATATATCTCAGCCTATAGTAGTAGGTGATTCAAGGAGAAAGTAGGGGGATGTTGCCACCTAGTGGTTTAAATTGGATTTAGTTTGAAAGCAGATGTTTTTAAATTAGGCTACTCTATTTAGGACCAATGCAGCAATGTGGGTCCGGTGCATGAAGTATAATTCATCTGCTGGAGTACAGTTATGACATTATTCATGAATACAAATAGTTTTTGGTTTTAGACAAATTAAAGAAATACAAGTCATCCGCAATCCCCTCAATGCTCATCCCACTGACATAACATAGAGTAAGCCCCATGTGTCTTGTTCCATTAAGCATATATGCATCTTTCTATTAGAAGATAACAGGGTTTGGTACCCGGACCCGCAGGTACAGGGGAAAAGTAACCCATCACATGACTACTGTTGTGTTGCAGCTTGAACAAGCTCCTGTTCCCAAACTTCTCCAGAGGGCAACAGATTACTTGATATTGATCCACCTCTAATCACAGCGATACATATCACACCTGTTTGTGTCTGGGTGCGGGGAAACAACGGTAAGGTCACGTTTGATGTTGGTTATTTATTAGTTTTTCAATCTTTTGCTCAGTATTTGTTTAAATTAGGATGGGTCACAGGTGTGCCATTTACCAAAATATCTTTGCCCGGTCGTTTTTCCTTATTTCTTGGTGCAAAACGGGGTGCGCAGTTTCACCATAAAATGAACGAAACTAACTAAAGTTTGACATTAGCCGCTAACTAAAAGGTAACAGCTCATCATTAATGTCAGCTCGAGAGTCTTTTTGTGTGTGCAATGTTAAGGTTTTAGTTGAAATCCTAGCAACAGACGCCCAGTTTATTTCAGTCGACGTAGTGCTGAACTTTACTTTCATTGAAAGCTAATGAATGCAAGCTAGTTACGATAGTTAGCTGTGTGGCACTTATATTGACAACAATTAAATGAAAAGACTCTGTCTTCAAAAAACAAGCGTACAACGACTTGGTACTGTCCCTTCGATAGCTCAGTTGGTAGAGCGGAGGACTGTAGTGGTAATGCGGCTGAAATCCTTAGGTCGCTGGTTCGAATCCGGCTCGAAGGAGACCAATTTTTCCAGGACTTTCTGCTTAAAGCAGCTTGGTGAGCCAGCTCTATGGTGCCATCTAGTTGACTTAAAACAATTGTAAAATATATTGTTCGATAAGCCGTTCCTACAGTTACTGTAGTTCTTTATGTTAGCGTCGTTTTCTTCATGTCCTGTTAGCAATAACCTTTCTGCTTTGAGTTAAAGTAGTTAGAAAGGGATTTCTTTTTGTGAGTAACGTTAACGCTACCCATAAATTAAGGACAGCAGGTTTGTAACGTTATATGAACAGTGAATGTTCTGGTGTTACCTTTAACAGAGACTCCTCTGCTCCTCTGGACTTCAGCCTATCTTTGCATTTATGAGTGGGGGTTGTAGCCTGTAGAAACACATTTTCTTTCATTTAGCGTTGGTTAAATGAAGTCAATGCAGAAAAAAACCTAAATTTAGCTGTTCGTAAATTTGAGGGTATGTTTGGAAAAGGCTGAGATTGCAACAAATTGACTTGTTGAATTAGGCTAAGGACACAATGACGTCTTTATAGTAATATTGAGCTATTTCTGTGCACAGCAGACTTCTGCCCCTGTGCTACTATCTGTGAAGAGTTGTTTGTGTAACCTTTGAGTATGTTTACCAATGCTGCGTTTGCAGGTCTGTGACATGCAACTTTATTTTCCTCGGGTTTTACATCACAGTGCCTCAAGGTGGCTTCTCAGTCTGCACAGGTAAGTGTTGTTTATCTGGACACGGGAGCTTCTGTTAAACTTACTTCCCTAAGGTTCAGCACACAGGGAACAAAAGCAGTGTGAATGTATAACACAATTCTGTCTGTTTACTCCGAGTGTGTATGTAATTGAGGTACTGGGATAAAAGACAATTAAATAGTTTTAGTTCTGTAATTTAGAGAGTATTGGAATATTATGAAGTATGTTATCGCTAGAGCACATTTGAACTACTTTATATACTGTTTTGATCGAAAGCACAGTATCATATTTTATAAATTCATCACATTTTGTTTGTAAAATCTGAATCTGCAAAGTAACTAGTAATTCCAGCTGTCAGATAAATGTAGTGCAGTAAAGTCAAATATTTCCCTCCGAAATGTCGTGGAGTAGAAGTATAAAGTACCATAAAATTGAATTATGGAAGTAAAGTACCTTGAAGTTATACTCAAGTGCAGTATATAGGTAATATCAGTATCATTGATGATAAGAGATATACTGTTATTGTAACTAATACTATCAGTACTTCTACCACCACTGCTACTAAAAGTAATCTTTACATTCTCTAATAACAAACCAGAATTAAGTTAGTATATTAATATGTAAAGTCATTTCTGTAAAGCACCTAAATGTTCAGACAAACAATAAATAATAGTATGCAGAAAGGAGGAATTACATAATCATACAAACCATTAAAGAATGCAGCTTTTTGAACTTTTATTTTGTGTTGTCTAACAGAAATGTACAGATGACAATCATTTCAGATTACCTGTAATTCCACCAGAAAAAAAAGCATTTAATCATAGCAGCGTTTGTGCTACACCATTAAAACTATTTGATATGAACATGGTGCAATGAATGAGGTAGTCATGTGGCAATAACTCAATTAGGCACATTTTAAAGGAACAACAAAAGTTTAGATAAATACAACTCTAGTGCACAGTGGTGTAGGTCAAGCTATATGCAAGATAAACACCCAATAATTACTAGAGAAATACCCAATTATTAAATTACCAAGATATGCTCAAGGATTACAAATGTTAGAAATCAAGTAAGAGTTTAGTTTAAAAGGGTCAAAACAACATTGGCTCCTCAAATCAATCTTTGATCTTTGTCAATAATTGACGCTTATTTCAAAATAACAAAAGTCGTCCGTGTTTTCACTCATGGCGAACACGTTTCCGCTGGGATGCTGAGTCCAGAGAGAAGGCAGTAGGAGACACGGGACGGGACTCGGGGATGAACTCTGTCTGATACTTGTCGATGTAAGGTTTGGCCACATTCCACACCTGAGTTGAAAATAAAAACATGTTACTTGATTCTCAATTTAGTTTTTCCATTTCCATCCCTGTGGAGATTATATGTACATACGTCGGAAGCAATGTTCATTTTTACTGTGGCTGTAAAATGTGTCCCATATCTATAAGATATATGTCACTTGCCTTCTGGTCGAGTAGAAGACGGTGAACAGCTTCAATGTCCGGAGACATGAATCTGTCTTTAATCCATGGCCTGTTAACGGCAGAAGAGTTGAGAGTCAGAAGTGGAACAGTGGATAAATATTAACTATCCTGTACATCATTTTAGTGGACTGAAAGCTGTGAACCTTGGCCACATCTGTTTGACTTACTTGACCACACTGCGCACAAGTTCATAGACCTTCTCCAATGGAGTGGTGGTACGAAGTGGACGGAGGAACTCGATACCCTGACAGGCTGCCAGCAGCTCTATAGCAAGAACTGATGCAAACGAAAAATTAGACGTGACAATTACATAATCACTTACTGAGTTAATTTGCAAAAGAATAGTATTTTATATAAAGTCTTATTTAGGTACGTCCTCTTTTTGTTGTAATTAATTCAGTCACACAATTAAAACATTACACAACATCTGAAGTCACTACTTTTGGTGCGTTGAATGAGAATCCTGTGTTTGCAGTAAGGTTGCTGTAGCCAGCACTGCGTACTGAACACAGTAGAGTGAGGGACTGGACCAAATGTTAGGTGTGACATGACATTGAATAATGTAGGATTATTATTTCACAAATGTGTCTTTAGAAAGGCTTCACTCCTTCCTTGATCCTTGAATTATATGTCAATTATAATTCTATATTTAAAAGAATCATGAGGGAATATCATTTAAATGACATGTTATATGTCCATGTATATTAACGACACTTTTTAAAAGTCAGAATTAGCTGTTTTCAGCTTTTCAGGCTGATGCTAATGACCATTGAACTTCATACAACTGAGCTATGCAGCAGCTTGTGTAACTTATAAAGTTAGTCACTTTTCCTTTAGTGTTTCAGTCATTTCTGCCATTTGACTGTTTATTTGATGCCAGTGTAAAGAACTTCACTGAAGTCCAGGGTCCCTACATTAGATTTCATTGTAACGTTGTTAACGTAATCACTGTGTTTAGCATTTTCCCAATATCTGTGCCTCATAATTACTGTAATATGATGTTTAAAATATGAATAGCAATAATCCAAATATATTAGGATTATCTTACCTTGCTCCACATGCTCCACAACCCTCAGGGCCTTCCTAGCTGCCCAGCCTCCCATGGACACATGGTCCTCAGTGGCAGCACTGGTGGACAAGGAGTCCACAGACGATGGATGACACAAAACTTTATTCTCTGAAACTAGACAGTACAAAAATGGAGATTAGTGTTAAAAATTCATGCATATGATGAAATGCTGTTTTTTTTAATAACACACCATATATATTTTTGTTTAAAATATACCTGAAATTCATCAGTCAATATTAAAACCTATTTAATTCAATCAACATCTATTTTAATCAACATAAAGTCAAATTTAATTCACTTTACTGATGTTACTGCTTCATTTTATTGTATCTTTTTGCACACTAACCCAAGGCAGCAGCGGTGCAATGAGCAATCATGAAGCCTGAGTTGAGTCCTCCCTCATTGACGAGGAAGGCCGGCAGCTCACTCAGTGACGGGTTACACAACCTTTCGATCCTCCTCTCGCTGATGGAGGCCAGCTCGTGGACCGCAATGGCTAAAAAGTCCAGAGCCTTAAAGAAAGGAAAGGGCAATGAAAGAGATGATAACAAAAAGTACAACAAATAACAAAAAATACAATGTTATATGAGTGACAAACATACATACCTTAGCTGGGTATTCACCATGGAAATTCCCACCTGAAATGGTCTCTCCTCTTTCTGCAAATACCATCTTGTATGGCCGTTAAGAAAACATATATCACCCCTGACTTAAAATAAAATCCAACTTGTGGCAGAACCTAGAATTTGTGGTTAAACCACTTTACAGTTTTGAGTGCAGAGACAAAAGTGGCACTTCTAGAAACACGTAACAGTCTTTTTTCATCTTAATGCCGGCGAAGGATACAGGATTGTCAGTGGCGCTGTTGATTTCTGTATTGATGATGTTCAGGACAAATGTTATTGTGTCATTGGTGATTCCATGAACCTGTGTAGAGAAACGAAAAAAGGAATGCTCAGAAACAACTCAACAACACTTTAAGCACAGTCCTAGTCCAATTATAACAAATCTCAATGCCCTGTTTCAGGACTATCACTCATTGGCTCTACCACGAGAGAATCCACCACTTTTTCCTTTTCCAAATTGTAATGATCGAGAGTGTACTGACTGTAAAGTCCTCAGGGAGAAAATTGTGATTTTGGGCTGTATAGATCAACTTGAATTTACCTGAGGACAGCATCGCATGGTGTAGGCATCCTGGACTCTGTCACAAAACCGGTGGCTCTCTGGACAAACATACCAACACCAGATACAGACATGTTTTAGGGTTCAATGCAGGCATATTACCAAAAGTTATACTTTATTAATCCATCTGGGGAGATACACCCTCTACATTTAAACCATGTTTGATATGTATGAGCTATGTGCTGCCACAGAGTAGTGCTCCAGCTCTAAAACCAGTACCTTGTTCAAGCACAGTGGGAGAAAATATTCCATACAGACGTTTGTTTTTTGGTTATATTGGCACCAATATGGTGTTACTGTCGCATGCAAACTCCACTCACTGTGACCCTGTAAGCCATACATAGTCTTGCTCTGAGGCTACAGTGACAATAACTTGGTGTGTTGGTTGTATAGTGTTGTGTTACTTGTCTGTTTTAGAATACGGGCCTGCCCTCTGACCTGCAAGCTCGGATGGATGGTGATCAGAGTCCAGCAGCGAGCGGAAGCGTTGGGCCACCTCGATCTGTCCGGGGTGGGGCCGCAGCCTATGAATGTCTGCAGGATGAGACAAGCAGATGAGGAACGCTGGAACACATACAGAATCTCGGAGTTTGAGGTAGACATTTATTTTTGTTCACCAGCACTGCGTCTGCTCACCACTGTCAAAGGCCTTGGTGGTTCCCTTTAGCACCTCTAGGGTCAGAGCAGCAATGATGTCTGCCTGCCGAGCAATCGCCTGGGCTCGCTCCACGGCCTCGGCCCCCAGAGAGGTGATCATTTGGGTCCCGTTGATCAAAGCAAGACCCTGTGTGGGGGAAAGACTGGGAGTGAGATGTACATATTTTCCACTTTAAGAAGCCACGAGGAAAATGCAGCACAGGCGGCACTATATTGTGTTGTCTAATTAGAATTATAAACACTATTGTTGTTCGTCTGTGCCTGAGGAGAAACCACAATGCATTCCCAGTGAACCCTGGGTCAGGTTCTTTAGTGCAGCCAAATCAAATATGAGAGAGCACGGTGGGTTAACATTACCTCTTTAGGCCTTAGTGATATTGGCTTCAGTCCATGGGCCTCCAGGACCTGGCCAGAGATGAAAGGAGAAAAAAACATGTAAAAGGTTAAGGGTCATCAAAAAGCAAACATGTTTTCCTATTGGACCTTGCTACCTGTCACTCTTACAAGCAGAGGGCACATTTCCTGCATGATTAAGCAAGTTATGTTGTCCAACCATGGAAAAGGCATTATGACAGTTATATCTGAAAGATCTTACATATTTGGCATCTGCCCATCCGCTCTTGGGAGACCACATTTTCCCCTCTCCCATCAGCCCCAGGGCCAGGTGAGAAAGGGGTGCGAGGTCTCCACTTGCACCAACGCTTCCCTTCTCTGGGACATAGGAGAGGCAGGAAGCTGCAGGGATAGAGTGAGTTAGAGATGAAGATTAGTCATGTGACAGTCAGCTTCCCCAATACTGATCCCTAAGAGAAAGTTATCAGCAATCAACTGATCTGATATCCCCGGTCGGTTAATATAAAATGAGGCTGGTGGCTTACCGTTGAAGGCTTGGATCATGGCATGAAGGGTTTCCAGAGAAATTCCGCTGTACCCTTTGGCCAGAACATTGATCCTCAGAGCAAGAAGCATGCGGGTCCTTTCTGGGCTCAGCGGGTTTCCCACACCTACACACCATAGCATAACGTTGGTGGTATAAATACAGCAAAACCTAAAAGACTTTGTCAGGAGCGCTGAAAATGTTGAGATTTTAATTTCAGACTAATAATCGAGCATTACAGAGAGCTTTACTACCTGCCGAGTGTGACCGCACCAAGTTCTCCTGCAGCTCCCTGTGGAACAAGCACACATCAGCACATAAAACCAGCTCATACTGCAACAGAAGATGTAACATTGTCAAAGTAAACGGACTGTAAAATATTGTCTGTACTTGAGCTTGCTGACAGGAATAACTGTTCGGGCAAATTTGCCAAAACCTGTTGTGATTCCATAGACAACTGGAGGAACAGAGAGAGAGAGACAGATAACTCAATACATGGGATCATTGACTTAATGAAATGCCGTATTTTATCAGTAGCTGAGTAGTAGTTAGATCAATGCATTTATGGTCTATATTACCTTTGTTTTCTTTGACAATAGTGTCCAAAAGCTGTCTAGCTTGCACAACGTTGTTTTCTGCATCCAAAGTCAGCTGAAATGTTGGAAAAGGGAATTGTTAAGTCAAAGATTTAAAAAGAAAAAGTCAAAGATTTAAAAAGAAAAAGTCAAAGATTAAACAGACTAGCGATTAAAACAAATACAATTTGTTGATCATTACCTTTATCTTGTAGAGTCCTCTTCCTAAGTTGACCAGATCTGTCGATGTCAAGCTGTTTCCATCCAAGGAAATATACTGCACATGAAGAGTTGTGTTACACAGAAGTAGTCAGTGAAATAGCATTTCAATTGTAGTAGTATAAACACTTACCTCTCTGGGTTCTTTGTACAATGCTGTACTATTTCACATAGTAATTAAGGATAACGTCCGATACGATGTTGCACAGTACTGTATTATCTTATTACAGAAATTATAAAAACATACATGTAATCTTGTGAAATGTATAACTGATATTTATTTTATTCTTTCAAAAGTCAGTGTTACCCTCAATTGAAAACAATGTAATTGCATAAACAAAATTAAAAACTGATTTAAAAAATATTATTTGGTACCAACTTCACTGCCCAAGTTCCCACTATTATTAAAAGGGCACAAATACTTAATAGGTTTAAGGATACAGATGAGAAACTCCAGGCTCATACGGGATGAAGTCAGGAGACATGGTGTCCCCTTCAATAGCTGTAAGTACAGGACATTAATATTAAACATTGTACACATTTCTTCTTGGTAGATATTGTAACATCTAGGCTACATATTAATGTCTCCTATCGTCGGTACATACCTAACCATGCACAATTACGCACAACAAGAGGCACAACTGTCTCCTATAACATTCTTATTAACTTATTTATTTTAAAGGTATACGGTCTTTACCAAGCTCGACAAAGTCATTGTCCTCCAGTACATCCTCGATGGTGTCATCCGCGTCCAACAAACCCAAACCCTGGCACCTGCGCACAACAAAACGAGTGTCCTTCAGAGCCGTGATGCCGCCGTTGTCTGGCTTGTTCTTCATGTAGCGTTTAAGCGCCTCGTGTCCGAGCCACCGGATGGTGTTCGTGGTATCCCGGCAGGGCACCGCCAGCCACTCATCTCGGATATGGACAGTAAAACCAGGCATTGCGCTTCAGCGGGTCCCTTGCTGCAGTGAGCGCTGCTCGCCGCTCCCCAGGGTACCACCTTCAGCCACCTAAAGTGCAGCCGCCAATCAGACGCGCCGCTCAGGGGCCACGCCTCGCCGGTGTCACACCTCGGGGACCACTGACCTCCACAGGTCGGTCACGTAGATGTTTCGACACATCGACCCAAAGGCTTTCACGTGATTTAACCACATACGCACTGGCAGCGAAAAACATGCTGGCTTTCATGTGTTTGAAGGAGCCAAACGTGACGTAGCTGCTGACTTTTTTTAAACTAGTTGACTGGAAGACAGGTAGCCAATATTGTCCTTAAAGTGTAACAACCGGACCAGTTATTGTTTTACTACCAACACCAAAATCAAGTGACTCTTATTCTCAAAATGACTTAAAATGTTATCACAAATGAATCTGAAATGTATCCTATGACTACTGATGGCTTCACTTGCTCTCAGACATTCCGAGTGTATGTGAATGTTACAGGAGGTGGACACAATACTGTGAACATGTGAAGCTCAGTTTGTTGATTCAACATAATGTTACGTGGTAGGGGTGCAAAGGTTGAATCCTATGATGATTTTTATCTGCAAAGATAAGTGCATCATCAAAATCTCACACAATTTTATACCTCGATTGGGATCAAATTAATTCTTCCAAAAAGTGCTGAACAAAGGTAGTAACTTAAATAATTAATATAACAGTTATTAAAGTTATATACACAACTAGAAAATTCCTAAAGAAATTTTGACAGTGTGGCTTCTACTGCCCGAAGACGTCGCAATATATAACTACACATGCCGATGTTACCGGTAGTATCGTTGAGCTTTGATTGATATATCGCTTCTCTCTTTTCTGCATTTTAGATTCATACTCTTGGATTGAATCTTGTATTCGTGATGGACAGTCCACAAATGGCTCCCGTCATTTCTGTATTGGACATAAACATCTTTGTTTGAGAAGAGTTTTACGCTCCCATAATTTCTGTATTTAAGATATAAACCTTTGGTTGAGAAGCCTTTGGAAATGACGGGATACAGTTACTCTATGGGGCTTTTATTTTGAAAGGGTGGGACTGGGTGGGGGAGAGGAGCCATATTCATAATGTTTGACACACAAACACAGAGGTTATTAAATGACAGGCTTCATCACAAGCATTCCAGTTAGAATTCCCACTCTGGGGCTTTTATTTTGAAATGGGAGGAGGGGGGGGGGTTCTCTAAAAATATTTAAGACCTGAATGACTGTATGATAGATTTAACATGGAGTCTAATGGAGCAGTTGGTTGGAGTTCATGTCGCTCTGCAGCTCTTTGAGCCAAATGTGTAAGTCCGTTGGATTCCACAGACATCTGTGTGTGACAGCACAACATTTCCAAGCTTTTGGGTCAAAAATGGTGAATAAAGAGTAAAAATTGTGGGAGCTGGAGCAATTTGTTTGGAAACATCACAGAATATTTTCCTGCTCTGCTCCACTCTGACAGTCATGCTCTCACTCTAGCTCTTAACGAGCTGCGCAATACACACCCATTATAAAATCTGAAACAGACACAAAATGTTCCTGAAACTTAATCTGTGACTTCATGAAAACTGTGCTAGCTATCAAAATGTCCCTTTGGCTCAATAAAGTGCAGCGTTTTGTCTACGTTTTAAACTTTGAATCATGTTTCTACGTTAATGTACGGCTAGTCAATATGGGCCCAAAGTTAAGTGTTTTTTTAGCTCTCTTCACGCCGAAACCCCATTCAAGTCAATGGGGCGATTTTGCTCCGTTTTTTGGGATTTTCGGGAAAACCGCTGGGCGAATCTCTCCGAAAAATAGATAGCACACTATTCCCGATCGGGCCGCACGATTTAAGGTATTTTTCACGCCGCTGTTGGCAACGCTGTGTGAGGAGAAGCGTGCCAAACTTTTCGATAAAGATTATTATTATTATTATTATTATTATTATTATTATTATTATTATTAAGCCCGCAGGATTACAGTCAGTGTGCTTTCACTGCCTGTGCAAAAGCACACTGAATTATAATATTAGTCTGAAATAGGTCCCTCTGTATAATGAGTACTTTTACTTTCAGTATGTTTTGATACCTCATACATTTGTACTTTTACTTGAGTGCGATTTTGATGCAGTTCTTTAACTTTAACTAACCGATTACATTTACAATGTAATATTGCTTCTTTTACTAAGTAAAATATCTGAATACTTCTTCCACCACTGTGGGTTAGGGTTATGAAAACGAAATGGGATAACGCCTCAAATCACGTGACTGTAGGTGTTTGTTTGAACTAACGAGGCGAACCTGAACGCACCACGCTGGCCTGCGGACGGATGATGTCAGTTTATGGGCTGTAGGAGTTTCTGCATCGCCATGTGTGCCGATGCAGAGTAGGCCCACTGCTGGCCGTCAGCGGGCAGGCCGAGGAGAAGAGGAGGGGAGGAAAAGTGTGTTTACACAGACTGCAAACTGCCTGGGGAATCGTCGGGGAGAGGAAGTCAGCCGGCTCTGTGTCTGCCTGCTCCAACTTCCTGCTCAGAAGAAGAAAAAGCGCAGGATCCTATTTCAGTCCAGCACAACTGTGTAGACCAGAAGTAAGCATGGAAAAAACAGGGATCACACAAGCTTCACCGTAAAGTTTCGCGGAGGGAAAACACCCGAGTGAGAGATCGCAGGTAACGTAGAAATAAACCGGACATCTTTCTATGAACATTGCTTTGTTGTCTTGTAGAGAGTGTAATAATGCATGATTAGCAGTACTAGCGACCGGATTCACTGTGAAGTGTCCGTGCCGTGACGTTTCCGCAGTGTGTTTAGTTAAACTCTTCGGATCCAGTGTATTTTTTTTAAAGTTTTAAAGTAAGAATAATCAGGTTTACAGCTTTTAGATGAGGACACGATTGTGCCGTCTTCCGGTCCAAGCAACATCTTGAAAATGAGTCAGTGGGGCAACATAGTGATCCAAAAACCTCTGTGCGTAACAGTAAGGCTACTGCAACTTTCAAGTCCCGGACACTAATGTAGCAAACAAACAGAAGACGAGCAATGCAACAACTAGTCCGTGTCTGCTGTTTAGAGATGTTTCTCTTATGGGCCCCACTGTTGAATTTTCCACCGTGTGCGAACAGGAAGATGGCAGATTTAGTCATGGCTAAGTAATGTCTGCACACACCATCTAATCTCATTAGCAGTTTCCGTTCAGCCAACACTGGATGGCTTTGTGCGCACAGCGAGACTTCTCAGTCCGAGCATCCGCAGCAGGGCTCCTGATGCCCGACTAAAGCAAACATAATGTAATACTCCTCGGAAGAGTTATGACATGTCTGCGGTTCACACAGCGACTGTTGTTGGGGATTTCACCTCTGTGCGGTAGGCCTATCAATCTAATATTCTAATAAGGTACCAGTAGTGAGGTTATCACTAGGTTGTACTTGATAACATTTAAACATCTGCTCATATTTCTGAACTACAGTAGCTGCTTCATGCTTTAAAGTCCCTCTGAGCTATTTGCAGCATCTTGTAAAGTTCAATGTTTATAAGTCACACTGGCCTAATTGTAGACCTGTCAGCTCCGTCGCCTTGTATAGGTTTACCTTTGCTTCAAAGTGTTTAAAAGCCAAGCCGAGGTCCGGGTTCAGATTGGTTTAAAGGGTGTAGCTGCGGAAAAGGGGATACTGATTTGATCTTTTGACCCTCTCCCTCTGGGGTTATAGTGGGAAGTGTGGCAGGACTGGGGAAACGCTCCCCTGCTGTGGGATCCCCTCTCCTCAACATTTGTCCTTGGAAGTAGAATAGGAGGAAGTCCTGACTTTGACAGGTTTGTAGTTTCACATGGCAGATAGAAAACACAGGGGATCGCTTGTGTCGGAAATGAGTTCGTCCCTCCCTCGCTCCCCTCTCTGGACAGAGATGTGTAGCGGCTGAAAGGCCAGTTTGTCATCATTGTTTTTTAGCATCGGCCACTTATCGCTCCTCACATCCTCAGGTAAGACAGCAGAGTATACAGGATGAGACTCCGTCAGGTCCATCAGTGTGTAGGGCTGTGTCAGGTATACCTAAGTGATACCAAAGTAGTTATTACTTTTATTTATTTTATGCTTTACTTTGAGGAATATGGATTTGTTTTTATTTATTTAGCAAAATAAGCCAAATTGTTCAAACAGCTTAAGAGCAACTCTGGATGAATAAGATTGTGTCTAAAATTGGCAAAACTCTGAATTAAAACGTGATTTTTGTACTTGACAGTTTTTGTAGTTTAGTGCTACAGACAAATTACAGTCCCTAACAAAAAAGTATTTAAGTTTGATGTATAGGCGTGTCCCTGGTGTAGTTCTGCAACTATTACTTTCATCATCGATTATATCGCCTCTCTCTTAATTGGCCATCACAGTGCCTCAGATTACAAGGTGATTTGAGATGCTAGACAACAGCAAAGCATTTGAACTTAATGACTCAACGATTAACCAATTATCAAATTTTTTGCCAATGATTAATCATGTCTTTTAACTAATTGATAAATCATTTTTATCAAATGAAGTTGGGAGTTTTTTTTTAAAATCCCATTTGTGACAGAAACAGCCCCCCCCCCCCCAAAAAAAAACACACACAGTTTTAATATGTGAGCTCCGAGCAGGCAGACAGGAGTTTTAAGGCTGCACATTCCTCTATTAAAGGAATAACCCACCCTGGGCCCGTCATACTTCCTGTGGAGAGAGGGCCAGGTTGAACCGCAGCATATTTCTGGCTTGAGCTGTTGTTCCTCCTTACATTTTTTTTTTCTCTTGTGCTGCCACATTACCCACACTCTTTACAACACACTGTTCTATTCATCCCCGCTCTACTCTTCCTTACTCCACATGTTACAGGCTCTTCCTCGTCAACCTAATTAAGTCTGTATGCCGTACCGCACTAGTGCTGCAAATCACAAGCTTTATCGTGATACAATATTATATCGATTTTTCTCAAAAACCAACAAAAATAAGAATTGACATTTGCTGAGC